TAGAAGTGAAGCCTCCTGTCCCAGCTCCAATCTCCACTACTCGCAAGGTTCCTCTGTTCTTGTGGCCCAGGAGCCGAAAAAAGTCGCGGTATTCCAGCATGTTGAAGAAGTTGTAAATTTCCATGAGCAAGTTGTCTTTCAAGAGTACCGCAAGAGGCTCTACTGCTCCCGTGAAGATGCCTTCCACATCATTGAATATCCTGACAATGGCAAGGGCAATGTCTCGCGCCGGAGTCAAAATAGCCTCCTCCGTCAGAGCTGTAATAGCACCAGCTCGCTTCTCCGGTTTCATTTCCAAGATCTGATTGACATCTTTCACGACACGGCTGCCGTTTCGCTGTAGTTTGTCGATGTATTCCTCATTCCACGCCTTGAATCGTTGGAAATGGTGATGTGAGCTGTCCAGGTGTTTGAGTATCCTAGTGCTTTCCAGCACACAAAGGATGTTGAGTCTCTCGACGAGTTCGAGGCAGCTGCTTAGATCATGATCTTGACGCACTATCTGGTCCAAGCTAGTAAGATCGATGTCCGGCCGCCACTCAAGTAGGTGAAGCTCCTTCAACGGGTCTTCTGCGGTACTGGTATGCATATCAAGTAGCCGGAACTGGATCCCTTTAGCCTTAAGTGCTAGGACTCCACCCCTGACCCCTATATGGCCATGAGCCGAGAGCGTATCGTGGCCACTGAAAAGAGTATACGCATCGCAGTGAAGGTTGTTCAAGTAATCACCAGCGCCAATAGACATCTCTTCGATATAGACAGGTAGAGCCGTCCTATTTAAAAGTCTTTCATGACCCTTGACTGAACCGAGAATGCAGCATTGTAAGAGCTGGTCTATAGTCGTGGGATGAAACAACCCGTAATATTGCTCGGTTGATTGCAGCGTGGCCGATGTACAGCCGCGAGAAAGATCGTAGAAGACATCTTGCAGTCCTTGGAATGAAGGCCCGTACTCTAGACCGACCGACTTGGCGGCCTGGTACCATTTGGCGGTGGCCACTTCTCTCTTGCATTCTGGTGCAGACAAATTCAATCCAGCTGCGGACGAATCTAAGGCATGTGCAATACGGATCTCTCCGCTACAGTGCCGGCTCCATCTAGTTCCATCATACGACATGACACTGAAATCAAACCAAGCTGAATCCTGATTGTCCGTTAGCCTTAGGGGCTGAAGCCGGGTCATGATCTCGGTGGGTTTTCCGTTATTCAGAGGCATGGCTGATCCGATGGATAATGCACGGATGGTGAAAGAACCTGGATATGAAGAAAGCTGTCTCATAGCCTCAGTCGCCATGGTGATGTATCCAGCAGCAGGAAAGACGACGTCACCCGCGACCACATGGTCCGAAAGCCAGGGCACCTCTTTCAGACTCAGCATCTTTCTCCAAGTGGGCTCGAGGTCGTTGCCGCCAATGACGCGTGCACCAAGCAGCTCATGCTCGGGGTGAGCGCGTGTGCGAATTTCTCGAGAGATTCGGCTCTCATGCCAGTAGGATGTGTCGTGAGTCCAGGGATACGGAGGCAGGCTAGACATGGTGGTAGCCCCGGGATTCATGGCCGCGAAGTCGACCTTGACCCCCTGACAAAACAAGCGGCCAACGGCACTCAACAACGATTTAGTGCTATCGCTTGCTCTGGTTAGACAGCTATCATACGTCACGATTTTGTTTCTGTCTTTGCATATTTGGCGGAAGGGTCCGGATAAAGCTGAGTGAGGGCCGAGCTCGAGCGCCATTCCAAAGTCTTGCGTGCTCTCGAGAGCGGACTCTACTGCGGACAGGAACAGAACCGGGTTCTCCATATTTGACTTCCAGTAGTTTGCACCCAGCAGACTTGCATCTCGAGTTTCTTTCCCTGTAACAGAGGAGAAGAAAGGGATTGGAAGAGAGTCATCATGCGGGGATTTGATGGTCGAAATCAATTTCCTATAGACTGGGCCAACTGACATCATATGATCTGTGATATGTTAGGCCACTTTCTTCTTACGACCACACTGCTGAAGGGTACTTGCCTGAGTGATATGCCTTATCGACTTTGAGCTTCCGAGCTAGCACTTCTGCTCGGTACTGGCGCACTCTATCCAGTGTTTTTTCTATTGCGCTGAGATCTCCCGAGATGGTCACGCTCGATCGGCTGTTCTCGCAGGCTATGGTCGCGCCGGAGGTCAATAGACCATTTACCTCATCTCTACCCAGTCCCACAGCCGCCATGGCTCCAGGTTTCGTCTGCTGGGAACTAGTTACACCCCGATAGAAGGCTACCAAAATCGCATCTTCCATTGTGAGCGCGCCAGCAGTATAGGCTGCTGCAATCTCTCCACTAGAATGACCAACAACCCCATCCGCATGGACATTCCAGCTGCGCAATAGGTTGACCAAGGCTATTTGTATGGCTGTGCAGAGGGGTTGTGCATATTCTGCTGCATTTACATCCTCTGCATTAGAAATTTTATCTAGATTGAGGTGATGTGTTAGTGAGGATGCCCGGGCTGTTCCTCTATAGGGTTCAAATCTTACCTTCCATCCTCCATGGAGGTGGAAACTGACACTCTGCGAGACATTTGTCCATCTGCTGGATATCCTTCCTAAACGATGGAAAGTCACCAATCAGTTCGCGACCCATGCCACTCCATTGTGCTCCCTGGCCGGTGAAAATGAAAAGAAGACGGCTGTTCTCAGGTCTTCGAACTGTTGCTGCAGGCTGTAATGGCGACCCATCAGTGACGCAAAAAGACCTGAACTTATGGTGATGCCGCCTTGCGCCAAGAGTGTAAGCAAGATCTGTTAGTTGAAAGGATTCAGACTTAATAAAGGCTTCATATTTGCCTAGCATGGTTTTGAGAGATGTCTCTGTATGAGCTGAAAACACAAGCAGCCGCTGCGACGAGACAGGCCCGGTATTGCCATTGATGTGCGCAACTCCATTGGGCCTGCGCGCGGATGGGTCTGCTTCGATAATTACGTGTGCATTAGCACCACCGAGGCCAAATGAATCAATACTGATCCTGGGATCTCGCCCTTGTGGCCAGGGTACTGCCTTCGTCGGTACTACTAGATTGGCTTCGGTGAAGGGAACTGCATGTCTGTTTAGTCATTGAATCTATCAAGGAGTTACTGGGTTGCTGAAGGTGCATACTCTTAGGATTAGGGGTCTGGAACTTGATGTTTGGTGGGATGGTATGTCGTTCAAGGGAGAGAACTGATTTGATCAAGCTACTCAGGCCAGCAGCCCCCTCTCCATGACCGATGTTTGGTTTTACCTAGAAAGACTTGATTAATATGGGGATGACCAAGACTTCTTTTCTGACGAGATTGCTATTACTTACACTACCGATGTATGTCTGCTGCTGGTGGCCAAACGTCTGGACGACAGCCGCTACCTCGAGCGGATCTCCCGTTGCTGTACCTGTGCCATGGCATTCGACCATGGGAGTTGCCTCTGGGTTGCTGATGCCAGCCTTTTCATATGCTCGTCGGATCAAGCTTGCCTGAGCGTCTGTACTGGGATTGGTCAGGCCCACGGTCTTGCCGTCGGCGTTGACCGCGGTGCTGCGAATGATGGCGCGGACGGGATTGCCATCGCGCAGGGCATCGTCCAGCCTCTTGACATAGATGGCGTTGACGGCATCTGCTCTCGCGTAGCCATTCGCATTCGCGTCGAAAGCGCGGGATGATCCGTCGGGAGACAATGCGCCAAGGTTGTCGAGGGCGAGGAAGTACTCGGGCGAGAGTAGCAGGTTGGAAGCTCCGACCAGTGCTCCGGAACAGTCCCCTTGATTTAGCGCCTCACATGCCAGATGCAGCGCAATCAAGCTCGACGAGCAACCAGCCTTGACTGTCATACTGGGCCCGTGAAGATCAAACTCGTACGACACGCGGTTGGCAAAGACGAAGTCGTCCATGCCCGTAATGTCGTAGACGTTTCCTTCTTGCATGTCGCGGGCTTGCATCTGCAGCCAGTCCTGGCCAAAGCTGCCCGCATATACTGCAATGTCGCTGCCACGCCAGTTGACCTCGCCAGCATTTTCAAGCGCCTCGTGCATGACCTCGAGCAGTAGTCTCTGCTGGGGGTCGACGCGCGCAACTTCGGCTTGGGACATGCTGAAGAAAGCTGCGTCGAAGCGGTCGACGGGCTCGTCGAGAAAGTACCCATGCCTCATGGACAGATTACTGGCCCCCTGGGCCTTTCCGTGGAAGCCGTCAATGTTGAAACGCTCGGGGGGTATCGATCGCCGTGCGTCTTTCTGGTTAACCAGAAGGTCCCAATAGGATTTCGTATCATGGCAACCTCCTGGGAGCCTCAGGCCGATGCCAACAATGGCGATAGGACTGGGACTAGAGCCACTTCTTTTGATGGCCATGTTGAAATAGCAGAAAAAAAGTCAACTTCACAGACGGAAGTTCAGCAGCAGCACAACTTCAGGTCAATGTGAAATGAAGTATGCTATCTATTGATCCTTCATTTAGCCTACCAAGTAGTCTGGATGTACAACCTCCGATCATATACGTTCACCCACCACTATTCACAGTTAGTTACTAAACAAACCCTGGCAGTGCGACCCGGATGCTGAGTAAGATACGCCTAAAGTACTGAAATCTAGAGTTTGCTCCACTTCTCAGTTGGACTGTTATTCTTGGCGCTCACCTCTCATGCTGAGTCCAACCGGCATCTCGAGTCGCCTTGCCTAACCTGTCGTCTTATCTACAAGATACGACTGGCCACCCCTGCAAAAGAAGGATTGAAACTGGCATCTTTCCTTTGTCGGATTGATGCCAGTTTCATGCGGGTAAATGGACTAGCTGGTGACAAGTGAGTACGTACCTATTTGAAGGTGGCTTAGATCGGTCTCCGACGGTAGGACACAGTACATATCTGTGATAGTGAGTTGCCTACATCCTGTGTGGCAAACTTGTCCTTAAGCATCTACTTCTACCTTTCTGCTACATTTTGGTCTTCCATGATATGAGAACTGTTTCAACACAAGTAGTGGTTACCCAATTATGGATATCGCTGCTCAACATGTCTTTCTCTTTGGGGACCAGGCGGATGCCCCGTTGCCCATGATTCGCCGAGTAGCCGAAAAGGCTCGCCATTCTAAGAATCTCCAATCATTCCTTCAAAGCGCTATCGACAATGTGCAACTGGAGGTTTCGAGACTTACTCCTGCGGAGCGAGATACTATCGGACCATTCCACTCATTGCAGGGCCTCACAAATGCCTTGAAGGAAAAATCCGACCGTCATGGAATCGCACAAATGGTCTCAGTGTTTATCGCACGTATAGGAGAGTTGATTCTGTAGGTTCAAAGCTCTTCCTCGCATACCTCATAAATGCGTTCGAAAAGTTGTCTAACGTGATCCCCAGACATGCAGAAAACGACCCAGCCCTCCTGGACAGCTCGACGCCACTGCTCTCTCTTGGCATTTGCGGCGGTCTTCTTCCTGCTGCAGCTGTTGCCGTGGCCACCAACATCCACGAATTGATAGAGGTGGCTAGCTATCTCGCTCGAGTCAACTGCCGAGTCGCAGTTGCGATATCTAGGCGCTCACTGGGGATTGAGAGTGGGACCGGGAGTTGGGCGTTTTCGGTTCTAGGAAAAGATATTGTTGCACAGCTCCCGGATATCCTGAATCAGTTCCACAGAGAACAGGTAAGATCCCGAACATGTACACGAAAATCCTTGCTATGTGAACACTATGTTGACTTTTATATTGTAGTCGATCCCACGCCATAGACGAGCTTGGATTGCCGTCAGCACACCCACCTGGGCCACAGTCTTTGGACCCCCTTCAGTCCTTCGCAGATTAAGAGAAACTTCCGCCCCGTTGCGAAAGAGTGATACGTCTGAATTACCGGCGTTCGGGGCGGTACATGCGGCTCATTTGGCGGCTCCCGAGTTCGATGATCTTGTGGACGAGAGCCCTTTACTCACCCGACCTCTCAAAACTGGCTATAGGCTTCTTTCTGGAAGTAGATATGCACCTTATGATGCGTCTACCTTGAAAGACCTGCTTCCCCAAATCATGCTCGACATCTTCCAGAATGAAACAGATCCGTCTCGTGTCTTCGAGGTGGCAGGTTCATATTTACGAAAGGGCGCATCTCCTTCGCTCTACATGCTGGGTGCTACTAGCTATCTGGTTCTCCTACGCCGGTCTTTACACACTCAGGGGTTCAAGGTGGATCTCAAGACCAATCCGCCTAGTCTGCAGACCGCAGAGCTTCGTGGCGGTTCTGGATCGGTGGCTGTTGTTGGCATGTCCGGTCAGTTTCCGGGGGCTGCAAGTGTGGACGAGATGTGGGACGTGCTCATGCGGCGAGAAGAGCTTCATCGGAAGATTCCTACAGAGCGATTCAACGCCGATGATTATCTGGATGAAACAGGTCGTGGCCTCAACGCGATAACCACGGCTTATGGTTGCTTTCTGGGGAGCCCAGGCCTCTTTGATCATAAGATGTTCAACGTCTCGCCGCGAGAAGCAATGCAGATGGACCCCGGACAAAGGCTTCTGATGCACGGCGTATACACTGCTCTCGAGGATGCAGGTCTTGTCACCGGTGGCACTGCATCTGCAGACAACCGACGCATTAGCACATACATAGGCGATGGTAGTGACGACTGGCGAGAACTTCAGCAGCAGCACGGTGTGGACAAGTACATTCTCCAAGGGACACAGCGGTCCTTCACGCCCGGGCGTCTCAATCATCATTTCAAGTGGGAAGGTGCCACCTTCTTGGTCGATTCGGCATGCGGCTCAACCGCGTCTGCGGTAGGGCTGGCATATAGAGCCTTGATCAACCGGGATTGTGACACTGCCGTCGCAGGTGGGGCCAACATCATCGCCACGCCTTTCTGGCAGTCTGCCCTCAGCAAGGGTGGCTTCCTCTCCACGACCGGAGGCTGCAAGACATTCCGATCCGACGCCGATGGTTACTGTCGGGGAGAAGGAGTCGGAGTGGTTGTGCTCAAGCGGCTGGAAGATGCTCTCGCGGAAAACGACAACATCATCTCGGTCATTCGTGGCTACGCTAGAAACCACTCGGCAGATACCGTCTCCATCACTCGACCCCACGTTCCGGCGCAGGAGCGCGCTTACCAAGCCGTTCTCCACAGTTCTGGCTTGGAGCCAGATGATATTAGTTACGTGGAAATGCACGGGACAGGAACCACTGCGGGAGACTCTGCCGAGCTAGAGTCTATCGTCAATGTTCTTGCTCAAAAGAGCACAAGGGCAACGCCATTGGTAGTGGGGGCCATCAAAGCGAATCTGGGACATTCTGAGGCAGTGAGTTTTGTGGCAATTTGCGACTAGGTGGCTTCTCGCAGCTGACGTTTGGATAGGCATCAGGCATTTCCTCCTTGATTAAAGCATCCTTCATGTTTCGCAAGGGAGTTGTTCCTCCTCAAGTAGGAATTCCCGAGAAAATGGGGGTTTTTGACTGCCTCGACCGTGGCTCCGTCCTCATCCCTGGCGAGCCAGTTTCTTTCACACGACAAAGTGTTGGCAAGACGCGGACCATGATAGTGAACAACTTTGATGCTGCTGTAAGTATTGACCTGGATTTATATCAAAAACCACTCCTCTCAACTAGACCGGAAGTATTGCGCTGACATTACTGGATTGAAAAGGGGGGCAATAGTTGTTTTGTATTGGAAGAACCTCCTACATCTTTACCGAAAGGCTCTGATCCTCGTCGCTATCATGTCGTTACTGTTTCGGCACACTGCCAAGCCTCACTAGATGGGAATAAACGGCGATTACTCCAGTTTCTCACCGAAAACAATCAGACCAATCTCGCAGACCTGTCATATACAACGACGGCTCGCCGCATGCATCATAGCTTACGCTCTGCATATACTGGCGATAGTATTCAAGAGATCATCAATGGCCTGAACCGTGATCTTGGTACAAATAATCGTGGTGATGATAAGACTGGGGAGCCTCGTCTCGCGTTCGCATTCACCGGCAACGGGGCACACTACGCTGGCATGGGAGCGGATCTGTTCAAGCTTTGGCAACCATTCCGGAAAACCATCACTAGTCTTGAAAAGAGTTGCATGTCACATGGATTTCCTCGGTTCGCACATGTAATCTCGGATCCGGCTACGGCAATGGAGAATATCAGCACAGCGCAGGTGCATCTGTCCATGATTGCCCTGGAAATCGCACTTGTAGACGTGTGGAAGCTCCTGGGCATTTCTCCGGACCTCGTCATGGGCCACAGTATTGGCGAATATGCCGCGCTGTATGCAGCGGGGGTGCTTTCATCAACAGATGCCATGTACCTGGTGGGAACACGAGCAATGCTCTTACAGGACAACCTGGAAGAGGGTGCCCACGGAATGTTGAGCATCTCAGGAACACAGCAAAACATTGCAAACATTGTCTCAGACGAGAGCGTCATGGTCGACTGCGAGATAGCTTGCCACAACAGCCCAGGCATGGTAGTACTGGGCGGCCCACGACAACGGCTTGCAGAAATCGAGGAGCAACTGCTCAGTGCAAGCAAGTGTAAATGCAAATTGCTAAATGTTCCGTACGCCATGCACTCCAGTCAACTGGATAGCATACTACCAGGAATCCGTGAAGCCGCCCGGGGCGTGTGCTTTGGCACTCCGAAAATCAAGGTTATCTCAACTTTGACGGGCACAGAGCAGCAACACTTTGATGGCAACTATCTCGCGAGACAAACAAGGGAGGCTGTAAAGTTCACTCAAGCCATATCGCACTGCGTCTCGCAGGGTCTTGTCGATTCGACTACGCTGTGGCTAGAAATCGGACCCGCTCCAGTATGCCTGGGACTTGTACGTTCAAACACCAGTGTGGCCTCGCATCGTGCCATGACTAGTATGACGAAAGAAGAAGGGGGGTGGAAGTCTGTTTCGTCAGCTTTGGCATGTCTCTACGTGGCTGGTAAGACAGTCGGCTGGCGGGAGTACCACAGCGACTTTATCGACAGCTTGTCACTCATCTCCTTGCCGTCATACTCTTTCGACACACGGAACTTTTGGATGCCCTTTACGGCTGGCAGCAAGCACGAAGATGTACAGCTTATTTCCTCGTGCTTGCATCATCTTGTGAAGCAGGAAGATGACGGCAAAGAACAATCGGCCACCTTTACGGCCATGGTATCTCAGCCGTCCTTACTAAGAATGATCCAAGGCCACAAGCTGTCGGGCATTACCGTATGCCCGGCTGGGGTATTCGCTGAGATGGCCCTTACAGCTGCCCGTTATGTGCATACTGGCGGGTCGATGAAGACGCAATTTCCATTGTTTTCGGTACTCGATCTCCAGATTGATCATCCCATCAAACCCCAACCTGACTCTCAGCCAGTCATTCAGGTAAACGTCAGTAAGCCAAGACAGTCGGGAGACTTTGCCGTTTCCATTATGGATCAAGCCAAGCCCTCTTTGATCACATCAAAGTGTTGCGTTCGCGAGAGAGATGAGCAGGACTTCGACATGACACGACAGCAACGACTTGGCGTGATGTTGCCCAAGATTTCCAAACTGATGCAAGATGCTGCGGTAGGGCTTGCGAACCGATTTCAAGGAAAGCTCTTCTACAGGCTGTTCGCGAACCTGATGGATTATGCTGGGCAGTATGAAGGTGTACAGGAAGCCATTGTAAACAATGATTTCACCGAAGCTCTGGCAACGATTCGGCTTCCAAAGGGGCAGGACGCCAGTGAGTCGTGTACACTATCGCCGTATTGGATCGACGCTCTCACCCATCTGGCGGGTTTCCTGTTGAACGGCAACCCAATGAGCAGCGGAGATGATGTCTACATCGGAACTCATATGGAGCGTATGGAGATTGTGGCTAAGGACTTTTCTCCAGACGTCGTTTACCAGAGCTATGCCTATATCGAGCACACGGAAGGGTCCGATGACTACCGTGGGCATGTCTATATCCTCAACGGTGATGGCATCGTGGGCTTCCTGGAAGGTGCGCGCTTCCGTAAGATGCCACGGACAATGCTGCACCGGATTCTGGGCAAGGTTGAACCTGCGGCCACTACTACGAGTAGCCGGTCCATTACGGCGGAGCCACCCGTGAATGGCACCAGCGGCAATAACGGTACCAACGGTATCAACGGCCACCACAAGACGATTGAGTCAGTGCTGGTCGAGCGTCTCATGGAGGAAACGGGCATGGATGAGAGCGAACTTCAGCCGTCGACCTTCTTTGCCGAGATTGGCGTCGACTCGCTCATGTGCCTCTCCATCCTGGCCGACATCAAGGCCGAGACCGGTGTTGAGCTGAACGCCTCATTCCTGCTGGAGTATCCCACGCTCGGGGACGCACAGCGCCAACTGCGGACGATGGAGGGCAAGCGTAAGCGTGAAAGGGCAGACTCGGCCACCGCCAATGGTACAGGCGCGGTAGTGTTGAATGGACAAAACGGCCTGTCCACCACCAAGCGCGAATGCAACGTCGTCCTCATGCAAGCACAAGGGCACACATCTTCCAGCCCGCCTCTGTTCCTCATGGCCGATGGCGCAGGCTCTGCGGCGGCCTACATGCACCTACCGAAGTTGCTAGACGTAGTAGACGGCGTCTACGCTGTCGAATCGCCCTGGGTGCGCGACCCAGCCGAGTTCACCTGCAGCTTCGAAGAGGCCGCAGCGCTGTACCTGGCAGCAGTGCGGTCTAAACAGCCGCGTGGGCCGTACCTGTTAGGCGGTTGGTCGGGTGGCGGCGTGTTTGCATATGAGGTGGCGCGGAGGTTGCTCAATGCAGGTGAGCGGGTGTTGGGGCTCGTTGTCATCGACATCCCCGCGCCCAGCCTGCAACTCCCATCCTCCGGAGTGGTGGCAGAGCCGACCATGGAAATTATTGATATGATCGGTATGCTCAGCGGCATCGAGCGCAACTTCGCCAACAAGGCCGAGAGCCCTGAGGCTGCACGCCTCAAGCACCATATGCTGGGGACCGTCACGTGCTTCAGCCGCCTGGTACCCATTCCCATGCAGCCCCATGTACGGCCCGAGCACACCTTTGTCATTTGGGCCACCAAGGACGTCCTTCCCAAAGCCGCCTTCGATGAGCTGCCTCCGGGCCTGGACGCTTGGTTCTACCCTAAGCCCCGTGACATGGGTCCCAACGGCTGGGATGCGCTCATTGGTGACGCGGTAGAATACTGTCAAGTGCAAGGCGATCATTTCTCCATCATGACGGCCCCCGAGGTCTTGGAGCTTGGTCAGGTTATACAGGCTTCTCTTGAAAAGTGCAAAGTGTAGTGTTGCCTACGACGGCCCAATTCCTACCGCGATTTCTTTACTTAGAATGTAGTAGGTACTATTGAGCAGTTATAAATCGTATATGAGAATGAATAGGAGGCATAGCCACTCCATCAGTTAGAAGTCATATAGTTATTTTATCAATTTAGAGTCGTTAGTACTATCCTGTATCCCATGAATTAATTTGTCTTGTTCACTTGCGCTTCGTATTCCAAGAAATCAAAGACTTCATCCTAGCTATGTTCGAGCTTCTTTCTATATTTGAACCTACACCCACAGGGTGCGGGGCATTTGGTAAAACATGATTCCTCCTATCGAGAACAGCCTGTACGTGAACGCGGGGCAGTAAGAACAAACAGGAGTATCATACACGGCAGTCCGAAACGAGTTTGTAAGCACGCAACTAGCTTCAGGTTCCCAATTCAGCACAGTGGACAAAACTCTATGTCCAGATCCCAAACTCAGCAGGAATGGACTAAATTCCCATTATATCGGTCGTGACTGACTCTTCCTGCCCCTATGATAAGAGGCATAAAAGGCCTGTCAGAAGTGCTATACTCAACATCTCTTGTATACTTGCTTTACAAATCATTACAGTCTCTTTCGTACCCTATTTGGTTTTGCTTGGCGAAAATGGCTCCAAAGGTAGACACGAATAATCATGACCTCGTTCGGGGAGTCTGGAGACTGTTCCGCCTCCATACGATCGAGGGATTATCGACGGTAAGCATTGGATGTACGTCTTGTCCACTTCAGATATGTTGCGACTATGTTAACATTTCATAGGGCTCGCGCTCTTCTTCTACGCCATGCAGCAGGACCTGCCGTTTGCTTTGGTCCGACGAGCATTCCTCGGCATCTTTGCTACCTATCAAATCACTCACTGTGTATTTTGTCTGTGGAAGTAAGTTTTATTCACAACAACAGAGCAGTAGTCAAGGATTAACCAATATGACTAGTGATATTTGTGACCGCGACTTTGACGCAAAGGTGGCGCGCACAAGGGACCGCCCTCTCCCCTCGGGCCAGGTTACACTCACCGAGGCAGTTATCGTCTTCATCATCGGTCTTGCCGCCGCCGTTGCCCTAACTTATAAGATACTCGGCTCAGACGTTACGGCAATCATGGTCCCTATATGGGGGCTTTCCACCATCTATCCTCTGTGCAAGCGCGTCATCTGGGCCCCGCAGGTGGTCCTGGGTCTGACCATGGCCATGTGCGTGCTGCCTCCATGGATGGCCGTGAGACCGCATAGCGGCGATGCGGGTCTGCTGCCGGCTAGTCTCTTTGGCGCCATCTTCTGTTGGCTCGTATACATTGACTTGATTTATGCATCCCAGGTAAGTAACCCTTGCTTGAGAAGGTATACATACATATTATCTTCACTCCACCCCTCAATCACTCTCACTTGCAGATTCGGATCTAACGTTGGTCTTTTCAACAGGATCGCCCTGATGACAAAAAGGCCGGCGTCAAGTCACTGGCCATTTTCCTGGGCGACTATTTGAAGGCTGGCCTGACAGTCTTGGGCGTTGCGCAAATCGTCTGTTTCGTAGTGGCGGCGGCTGAAGCACAGGCAGGAGTCTTTGTCTGGATATTCGGCATTGCTGTCTGGTCGGCCTCGGTTCCTTGGAGCATCATCTCACTAGACTTGCGTGACCGCAAGTCGGGTGGGCGCATTTTTCTCATGAATGCCATTTTAGGTATTTACATGGCGGCAGTATCAGGCATAAACGTTGCATCACCCGCTATCTGGTCGTGAAACAAGGCAGCATGAAGCGTAGGTAGAAACTATGTTTTTAGGCGTGGTGGTGCAAAAAGGGGATGATCAGACTGATTTTATGACGAAGGGTCAGGTATGATGGGACATGAACACAGCGTATGGGACCTTTGGAACTCTTTTCATTTCTGAGATTGAAACTTCGCCCACCTCCAGGGTGTGTTTTGAGTAACTCTATCGAGAATTTGACAAGCTTCTTTCTTGAGTTCAGGTTCCACAAGATACTGAATAGCAATGAAAAGACAGCTGATGGTCACATAGCCAAAGTCTCTGTTTTATGCAGAATTCGTCATTAGCGTGTCTCGATCCACGAAAAGCAAAAGAAGAGTGAAAAAAAAAAGTTCATATGCTTTTTCATCGAGGAATAGGGTCCCATACTTATCTTCACCCTGCGAAGCAATTCCGCATATATCCATAGCGTGCCTTATCTGTCTGCACTGGGCTTCTTGCGCCTCGGCTGAGCGCTCGGCTACTCCGATCCTGACAAGCAGCAAACACGAGACGTGATAAAGCAGGCGCGCGACTGTCGCTGAGGACCCGACGAACAGGACCTGAGGGAAATGCGTTGTAGTTTCTGATTTCGAATCCTCATCTGGGGGTGGGATATAGCACAGGGGCATCATCGATCTCGGCACGTTACTGGCCCATTCGTCGCACCAACCCTTGTACTGCTCACGGTCCTGGCGGAGACGGTCCATGGAATCGCCATATATGCCCTGAGCCACCTCTGTGTGAAGCGCAGCAACCTTGGCACATACCGACACCATCCGGTAAGCCCATAGATCTTCTTCGCAGTAAAGTATGCCATTGTTAGTACCTGTACTCTGGACCGCGTTCAGTGCCATGTCCATTCTTTCGGCATCGCACGTCAGCCTTGAGTTGCGAACGAGACTATCTAACACAGAGTTCAGCTTGTATGCCCAGAAGCAGGCACCAAACAGACTTGAATTTCCGCCGCTGAGGCCGGCTTCTCCAATCAAAGCTCGCGTGCGATCCGAGTCGCCTTTGTTTTTGTTGGCTCCATCACTCATAGTTTCATATGCATGCAGCAAGGCTGAGATGGTCACACACAGGAGATAATCAGCGTTGGGCTTGGCTATCTCGAGCTCAAGACCCTGGCATGCCTTTTCATAGTAAAGCGATTCCTCTGTAGGCATCAAATATCTCTCCCCGCAAGCCATTACCATGCTGTAAAGTGCGGGCTGGCTTAGGGCGTAAAAGGGCGTTATATTTGTGAACTATATTCATTTGGTCAGTTATTGCAAAGGGCGATTGATCTGATTTTTCAACTCACGGGTTTGCTCGCGACCAGGCAGTCCATCCAAGGCGCCACCTTGCTGAGGAATATCTCCATCAGCAGACCCTCATCATGGTTGGTGATGACGCGCAATGAGGGCAAGGAGCTGCACTGTGCTGGAACGAGCGCGGCCTGCTCTGCACAAGACGTCATCTCCATGGGCGGAATCGCGCCATATTTGGGTAAGCCCGTTTGGGGTAGTCCTGTCTGCAGTGTAGGCTCCGTGTGCGAGGTGTCAATATTTTTGTCCTTCTGTGGACCAACAGCGTACCCCGAGGCGATGGCTCGCGATTCGTCGTGGAACTTGAGCTGAGTGCCTGGGGGTAGATCTATGAGGCCAGTGTGCGGCGTAGATGTCTGGATGTCGATGAAATTCAGACGGATCCCTCTCTCACAGACGCGGTTGGATTTGCAGCAGTTTCTACACCTAAAAGTGTAGTCAGCAAGCTGAACGGTCCTGGTGCTGCTGTAACGTGTCACGATGCAAACCATACTTTGGCAATGTTTCGTCGCATTTGATATGCCGGTCCCGACACGTCAGGCACCCGGTCCGAGCTCGGAACTGCTCTTTGCCCATTACTTGGAGCTACTGGGAAGATACTGAGCTCACATAGGTCAGGGTCGGACAATGTTCACGGAGTTACACATGGAATAATAGTTCCGTAGAAGTAGCCCGATACGACTCACACAAATACTGTCCATTTGCAAGGCAAGACGAGACGAACTCCTTACCCTCGCATGCGCTTACCTTCCCTTGCCCCGTGTAACCCACTAACGCCGTACAGGCTACCCCGCCTTCTTGCTGGGGCATACGACCCACAGAGGCCACATCTGGCGTAATATTGAGCATCTGTCCTCGTCCGGTTTTGCTTTATCCAGATCAGGCCCCCCAAGACCTTTCTTGACTCATGTCCTCTCTTGACCCATGTGTCACCTACTGCAGCTGTACGGGATTCCCGGTCAATGCGTACAACCGTACAGGCTCAATCACATACAAACATACACACACATAAATTTGATAATTACAAAAAAAATCAAATGATAAACGAATTGATAATTGACGGCTAAGGCTCCAATCATATTATTACAGCAGACTATCATATGCCGTATTTTTGATCATACCACGTATAGCCCAGCTATTATAGTCTCATAGCTATCTACATTGTCTTGAACGTATATAAATATCTATCTATCAGTCGCGCAAAAATGGGCGTTCTTTCTAATCTTGGAACCCGTTCATCAGAAATCCCCCAATCACACAATAAGAACATTCCGCGACTTGTGAATCCGTAAATGCGAGTAATCGAAATTTTCATCTCTTACCTCTCCCGACGCTCTTGATTTCCAGCATTCTTCTAGTACATCGAGGAGACCGCAGAGAGTAACTGAATTTCTCAACTGGCAGGAGAGCAGCTGGCGGAAGAAGCCGTGCCGCTCCTCTTCGACGACGCACCCCACGACGAAGAGCGGCCAGCCTAGCACTTCGAGAAGCCGAGCGTTGTCTTTGATATCGGCCAAGGCGTCGAGAGCGCGCCCAGCTTTCTGTTTTACCTCTGGCAGTCGCGGATACGCGCCCGAGACGATGACCTCCAGGAGAACAGACACGGCGCAGGCAAAGGTATGGTTAACAACGCATATATCGTATTGGCCCTGTGCACCAGACTGCAGGGGTCTGTCTTTGTCCTGCTGTTGCTGCTGCTCAACATTTTCTTTGCTTTTTCTCAAGAGTATCATATTGCTGGTCATCTTCTTCTCAAGATCTACCTGGATCGTGTTTGCTTTGGAGGTCAACTCCCACAAGCTGAGCAGGCCTTCTGCCCTTGTTTTCTTCTTCCAGTCCCGCAGTAAGTAAACGTCGAGAAGTACTTCGAAGATCCAGTTGCTGCAGCCGCAAACGGCTTCGAGAGAGAATTGCTGACGGGTGGATGTGAACCACTCTTTGTAGTTGTGGGAAAGTCCTGGAGCACTATCTTGGTTGATTGCCGATAATATGTCGACGCGTATTATTGAAATTATGAAGAAATCTCTCGAAGACTCCTCGAGAGATTTGGGAGACGCCGAGTTTGTGTCATGCTGTGCCTGGGCGATCCAAGGGGCAATCAGCGACGTGCCCGTTCTTAGGTGGGAGGTCCAGTCGACTTTGCCGCCTTGAAGAAGCTGTCGACGGTGCGTTAGCTACTGTGGTATAACAACGATGAGTAGTTCTCAAGGTACCTACACTGGAGGATATGAGTAAAACAGTGCAAGCCAGCATCGATATGTCGTCGGCAGCTTTGGGCGTTCTCAGATTGCGATGAAACTCTTCCGTTGCCACATTGTATCTTCCGGCGTGGTCTTCGTACCGCAGTTTTGAGCAAGACTCCTCTACCGCTTTTTGACGGCTCTTGTGCGAGCTGCTCAATGCGAGAGATGCCAAATACAAGGGTCGTGACTTGGACATAAGCCATAGGAAGTACCCTTGGCTAAAACCGCTCAGAAGCGTCGAACAGAACGGGAACTGCCAGTTGAAAACCTTTTCTATACAATAGGCTAGTAATATTGCGTCCTCCATATCGCCGATGGGAAGTATGAATGCAGAAGTCCCGTACGACGGGTAGGCTGTGCTGATTTGACTCTCGGGCGGCGAAAGGTAGGCTTCACAAAGGTCATCCGCAACGCCCAGCCCAGCCGTACCTTGGGCCATGTGCAAGCTGCCTGTCAGGATGGACTCGAGTTCTGGTAGGTCGAAGTTCTGCTCAGAAAGAAAGTCCATGCCTTCGAGACTTGTCTGGAAATTGGCATTCCTCGAGGGAGCAAGAGTAACAGGATATCCGGATAAGAACGTCATATCATCGAATATTCTTTGTGAGCCCGAATCATCTGATGAAGCAAGAGCATCTGAGACTATTGTGTTTTGATCTTCTTCTTCGAGAGCTTCTGCAAGCCGACTCCTTGCAAACTCGTCCTGGGACGTGTCGCCAAATGTCTGTGTGGGAGAGCTGGGCTCATGGTCCATGAGCATACCGCTTGAAGCATCAGGGGCGTCGATTCGGATGGTGGAACGTTCCGTGTGGGAATTTGGGGGCTGCTTAGCTACCCAATCGTTTTGGGTTCGCACCTGTTTGTGCCGTCGGCTCTTGGTCAGCTGTGCTAGCTTCTCCTTCATCTTCGCTGCTTGTGCCTTTTGTCGAGCGCCGCGGTCCATCCAGGCCGGCCTTGTACCAAAACCGTGGCAATCAAGTCCCAGGCACATGCATTCCGTACATATAGGTCGCCTTTCGTCACACTTCTTCTTCCGGAGCCTGCAAGACCAGCACCCATCTTGGCTGCGAGTCTCGGTAGCCATTGGATATTTACTGTTGATAGCGAACAGGAGGAATAGTCAAAATGGTCGTCAACAGTGAGGGTTCGTCCTTCGTAAGGCCTTCGGGTTCCGGGTAGTATACCTTAACGCCCAGCTCATGCTAACATCCAGAGAGCAGTCCGTGGTAGGTTAGTATCACCCTCAGCCCACTCGTAGCATACACCAATCGGGCATTATTTCCATCGATTACTTTATCAAAGTGGCAATCGGGTATTATTATCATTGCTTACTTTATCATAGCGGGATAGAAGGATGACAGCCTCCATGTAACTCTACATAGTGAGCTTCCTCATACAAGGAACATTGTTGGAAGGAGGGATACCCACTATACTTATCTATACTATATCTGGCAAACGGCTCGGAGTAGGGTTGCGAAGAAAGAGATGGGGGTAGGGTTAGCTCTGCTAAGCCATGGGTAGAGAGAATGTACCTAACATGAACTTGTCTAGCTTAGTGAAATGCATGGCCTGCCCCCACTCTCGTCGAACAATTTCACTCCACTCTATTCCTTTTACAGAGATAATGCAGTAAGATTTTAGCCTTCTTTACTGGTAACTTACTTAGCAGTTGGTGCAACAACGTTATTTACCCGCTCTTACTATGACGCCACCTCGCACGTCCTCTATTCGTGCGTTCTCTCTTCCACAATATTGCGCAATGCATGTTCGTCCGAGAAGGATTGCCAAGACCCGACCCACTCCCGCGAAGTAAAAGATAAGGGTCCAGCATACCGAAACGGACCCTTGTCTACTAGACCGTTTCGAGAGGGATGTGCGTGATTACAGAGAAGTTGCAAATACCCGTTTCACGAATATTCCAGAGGCTCCCAACAACCCCCACATCATGGGCATACCGATGTGCCTCGTCAGGTTAAATGGCAGGACCCACGGTGCTCCACCTGCGACAACACGACGCGACGGCCACATGTACCAGGGAGAAGTCAAGGACATCCATAATACAACCCAGCTGAACCCTAGAACCTTCTCCCAGTTAGCAATTTTCCTTTCTTTATCCGAGTTGCTAGTGTGGAATTTGTTGTAAAAGGCCTTGACTCCATCCTCGAGCATTATGCCTAGAGCAAAAGATGAGAAGTAGGGAATAGAGCCAGAATCCACTGCCGATAGACCCATAACGTTGGCCGAAACAGCATGCAGGATGCCTGATAAAAGAAAAACGAGAAAGTTGTTGGTATAGCGCTCCAAGAGGGAGGGAACCGGCAGTTTCAGGATCTGACGGGTCAAGAGGTACGTGTTGGAAGTAAAAGGCCAGCGCAGTATTTGATGCCAGAACTTGCTACGATGGAGTAGGGGTTAGCCTCATTGTGATCGAGTCCGTAATTAGGCGTACCCTTATGGACTCACCCCCAGAAATTACGCAGCGTGTAGGCCTCCCACATACTCCCAAACAGCGGCCGCCAGCTCCGGGGGCTGGCCAGGCCTGATCCCACAGATAGGATGGATAGGGCGCGCCAAGTCGAGTCGAGAAGCAAGCGGCTGACCACGAACCAAGAAACAAAGGGAGTGAACGCCCTAATGAACCATTGCTCCCCTGTCAAACCGGAATACTCGTACTCTATCCCAGGGCGATAGAATTTGTCCGTGTTCTCGCGTGGCTCGCGCATGGTGACCTCGAGCATGACATCAAGGAACAGGTATTGCCAGGCCAAGATGGACCCCTGACGGATCAGGAACCTTGTACGGCTGCCGCCGCCGTGGCCGAGCGAGGAGGGGTGTTGTGGAGTATTCTTGGTCTCCCATGCCGTCTCCACGCCCCGCAGGCTAATGACCAGGCAGGCTCCGTGCATTAGCCTACGCACAAATGGGGTTGTATCCGACGAAGGATTGGGCGTTGCCCCCGTCTTTCCGATGTGGCGTTGTAAGTCGCTCCAGGTTATACCGCCATCCTGAAGGATGAGAAGCAGGTTTGTACAGTGCGCAACCACAAGGATACCTTCGCAGGCCAAGAAGCTATTGTGGAAGATGCTGTTGGAGAGGCTCGGCGCCAGCTGGAATATCAGATACGCAGGGAAGCTGATGCACACCAATCCGAGATATCGCAGCCATGAGTATTTGGGTGTTGCGACAATCAAACCAGCGGGAATCAGTATCTGCACGGCGAATAGGAGAGCGACATTGGTGAATGCCTGAATGGAGCTGCGAGGTAATGCCATAATGTCTATAAGGGGTATAGTAGGTATTGATGGGACTCTAGGCATCGAAGATTCATGAAGTAATTGTACCACAGCCTCAGTGGTCTTTAAGCCAAGGAGACTTTTCAGGTTCAGGTCGATTCGTCCTTCCTTCAATGTTGCTTGTTCACCAATCAATTGAGAGAGTATCTGTCACACAAAGTATGATGTGATAGCTATGATGGGGTAGCTGCGATGGGATAGCTATGATGTGATAGCATGATGTGATAGCTATGATTTATACAATCAAATATTATCTCGGCTTCTCGTGCTGATAGAATAACGAACGTTATCACGGTACTTCCTTTTCCCCCTTAATTTCTCGCTTTGGAGAACCCCTAAGTCTAAACTATGCCATCGTGGGCTATCACAGGCGCCTCCCGTGGCATTGGGGTACGTTTGATTCATTTCAACATACCATGGAACACAGGTACTGACAGTTCATCTTCTCTAGCTTGAATATGCCAAACAGCTAGTGCGTAGTCCACACTACTTTGCTCTATTCAACTGCTTCTCAGGGGTAACCTCCAACTGACACCGTTATGCTACATTAGTCTGCAGATGTGGGCAACCAGGTTTTCGCCCTTATCCGCCGCCAACCAAGTGCGGAACTTAGCAAACTCGATTCTGAGAGAGAAAATCTTCATATAATCAAAGCAGACGTCACTGATGCTCAAAGTCTCTCTGAGGCGGCTGCCAAGGTGGGGGAGTTGACTGAGAACAAGCTAGACGTGTTCATCAGCAACGCATGCCACCCTGGACTTGACTTGAGGTTTTACCCAACCTCAGCATTGTAAGAGCAATCCTACTCTGGGGAAAGCTGAGATAATGAATGGCTGACCAGTGCGTGATGTGTAGCCTTGGAAAAGAGAAGGAACTCAAGAACGAGATTGATGCCCCTGTGCGTCTCCTTTCCGCTCTATATCGCCCGCCACGCCGACTCTTCTTCTTCTTCTTCTTCTTTTTTGAGCGATATGTTTGAATGCACTAATACGGGCATTAGATGAGCGTCAATCTTATTGGGGCAATAAGCTCTATTAATTGTTTTCTGCCCCTGATTCGCAACGGCGAACTGAAGAAGATCATCTACATCACCTCTCCGACGGGCGACGCTGAATTTACCCGCAAGTGTGGCGTCACCGTCACCATCGGATACACCGCAACCAAGGCTGCCATGAACCTTGTCATGTCAAAGTACGCTGCCGAGCTCAAGGGAGAAGGGATCAAAACTCTGGCTCTCAGCCCGGGATGGGTCGACACAGACGGAAGTACGCAGTTCCCCGCACACTTATCTATTGATGATTCTGTCAATGCTAACCACAAACCACATGCGATGTACAGCTCGGGATATGGCCCCGACGCCAGAGGTCTTAGAAATGGCGCTACAGATGTTTCAGAAGGTGAACCCGGATCTCACTAGGTTGCTGTCTCCGGAAGAATCGGTGAGAATGCAGCTTGACGTTATCAATAACCTGACGGAAGAGCAAAGTGGTCTAACACTGTCCCATCATGGGGACCACAATTGGATTTGAAACGAAGAAGTGATTCTAGTACAAGCATATATAAATCTAAAACAATTCTTCAACACCTTCAGGCCTGCATCTTGACATATCCTAACCAGCCTTGTATTCTCCTAGCCATGATCTCGTTCTGAAGATTTCCCTGCCTCCATGAATCAAATTGCAACGGACCACATTACTAGAGACTTTAGAGTCTCAGGCGTAAGACTTCTCTTTAATTTCCTGTACCAATGGCTGCACCGATGTCGCCTTTTCCAACTCAATCTTGGACCAACAGGTGATACCCGCCAGCGAGGCTGCGGGCCCGAGAAGCACTGTTTTCATGAGTATGACTGCCCAGGTCATGGCTAGAGGGACCTCGGTAGCGGATATCCGCTGCAGTTCCCATGTCATGTACATACACCACGCAACAGTAAGGGAAGTCAAGGATGCAATTGCCCTCGCAAGTGGTGACGAAAGCAGGCTAATGATGCCTTCATTGAAGAGAGCAGCACCGTGACCCCAAATGAGAATGACGTGTACAACGCTGGAAACGACGGCAATGGCTGTAAAGAATCGTCGCTGATAGGGAACGTCGATGCTGCTGAAGACAACTTCCACGCCTTGCGGGACAGCCTTTATTCCCCTAAGAATTCTGCTGCTGACGTACACCAATACCGGGAAGGTGTATTGGGCGACGGGCCACCAGTCGAACAAGCTTTTGTCGGTGCTTCCCAGGGCTGTAAGAATACTTGGGATACTGTAGACCATTGCCAAGCATGGTAGTAGAGCTTTTGCTGCCCCGAGATCTGTCATGAATTGGGGAGTGTAATAGTGTACGGCATGTTGGCTTGATATTACGTGGAAACATAGATAGACAGGTAAAGTCTTCTCCCACCCCCAGTAGTTGGAGGCTAGAATCCATGGAAGAGAGCTAGAATAAAAGTCAGCAGGCGACAAAAGCAAAATAGGTTGAATACCAAGTACCTGCTCATTGGTGACACTAGCAACGACGCCTTGTAAGACTCGACGACCCAAAGCCCACTAATCGATACTGCCATCATACAGATGTACAGCTGGAATACTTGAGAGAATTCAAGCAGGCTGCTGCTTGAAGCTGGGAGGAGCCTGTGAGCCGACAATGGAAAGCATGCAGCGAGTATCAAGAAGCCTATCCACGAGATTGTGGCCAAAGGCGACCGTGGATTTGGCTTCGCCTGCATATCTGGCGAAAATGGGCACATCCCTGCCTTGGGTGGCGGTAGATGCTCCATGCAGCGAGCTGGCGTGAAGGAGACAGCCAGCTGAGGTAAAAAGGCCACCACGAACGGAAGTCGAGGGATGACGTGCAGTGCCATGAACTTCATTACTGGGTTGTCGAAGGACTCCATCCGCTGCACTAGGTTGGCGTCCTCTCGCAGTGCTGTCGTCCTCACAAATCTCTCCTTCTGGAACTCGGTCAAAGCTTGGTTTACACGGAGTGTATCGTGTAGAGCGTCGTTTGCTCGGAGTTTCCATAGCATGTCTGCCACCATAGCGCTCTCCTCTACGGCCGAGTTCGCTCCTTGGCCAGCTACGGGGTGCAGCTTCCGGAAGGCGTCCCCGATGAGGAGAATGTTCTTGTAGAAGCACTTTTCCAGAACGAATTCTTGTAATGGGATGATGGTAGAATAGGTGGATTTCTTGTACAGCCCTCCCAGAGTCAGGCCGTGCCCAATGTTATCGTCTGCGTACTTGTCCAACAAAGCCTGCTTTGTGTCAGAGGAGAGCTTGGGCACGATGCCCTTGATCGGCTCCTCGTTCTTGACACATAACCACCAGTAGAACTCCCCGGAGCGTTCCATGCCCTCTGAGAAGAAATAAGACCGTAGATGGTTGTACGCTCGCGCATTCCCGCCTCGGGGCAGTCCTGGATCATGGGAAATGCCAATCACAGCCGTGTAAAGGGATACAATGCCTACATGATGTGATTAGACTATCTTCAAGACCAATGCGAAAGGCCTCGGTCTGCGTACCGGTCTTATCCTGCTTGGGGATGTATCCGGGCTTCTCCGTATCAGCATGACGCCAGAGCTCGCTCCTCACGCCACTCCTAACACCATCTGCACCGATGACTAAATCTGCAGTGTATATTGAGCCGTCCTTGGTCTCTACTCGTGCCCTTTCTCCAGGTTGGCCGACACTGATCCGAGTCACTTCTTTCTGTAGGTGGATGTTGGACTTTTGCTTAATCTTGTCAAATAGAATGCGCAGACAGTCGTGACGCGACAGAAAGTGGATTTTGTAGCCAAAGCTATAGATGATAGCAGAAAAGTATTAGTAGATTGCTTCCAGCATTGAGGGTAGAGACATAGCGAACGGGCAACTGGTACATACAGCTTCTCCAACCACTCCCCCATGTGCGGATTGAAGATGACGGTTTGCCCCTTTGGAGAAAGCGCGACACCAGAATTCACAGGAGACGCATACTCGCACATAGAATCCCAGACGCCGATTTGGTCTAGTATGCGCGCCCCGTTGGGAGTTATACCCACTCCTGCTCCTAGTTTGGGCGCGACGTCGGGATGCTTCTCAAGCAAATCGTATTCAAATCCATACAACTCGAGCATTATTGCTAGAGTCAGCCCTGCGACCCCTCCACCCACGATTAGCACCTTGAAGGTAGGCGCCATGCTTTTTGCGATTTCTGCCTATGCTGTGTAGAAATTGGAATTGGAAATTTCTCATGAACTAAATTAAGCAATGTTGGTTCTTATCATGTCCAATATCTTGGGAAGCTAATAAAGGCTTTCATGTGGTAAGTAGCTTCATACAATCTGTGCGCAGCAGTAGAGTATTTAGAGTCAAAGGCATCTCGTAACGGATTGCCTAAATTTAATAGTGCACTCTATCTCGCTCACCCCCTCCAACTCCAATCAGCAGAAGTTAGTCCATCTACTACCAGAGGGTAATTTATGGAATGAATCTTTTCAAAAAGAATTGTTATTATAGTAGCTCTTTTTCAAAGTAAATTTAATTTATGGATAATATCAATATTTGCATATTTGGAGATAGGGAAAAAACTTGTGATGTTTCTGAATGGAAAGAGTGATATTAGGTCAAGTTATTCCAACCAAAGGCAAATTCTTATAGAAGTACTATACTTTCTCTATGTACTAAAAGGTTACGCGCTGCAAGCTCTAGAACATCTTAGAGCGATTCTGTACTTCTATGTTGCGTAACGGTATCGCTACTATAATCTTGAGCCAAAGCAGTTACCTCCCCGTCCTCCGCGTCGCTCTCGATACATTTTACATCCATTTCGCATCCCATACAATTATTGAGTTCGGAGTGATTTCTTAACACAAACCAGTCTGCGAAGAGTTTGTAGATCTTCCACGATGCTTGCAATAATACCAGATTTGCGATTAGAACTTGAAATATAAAGCTGCCAGTGCTCTTAAGTCGAGGGACCTGACAAAGATATGTGGTGGATAGCACAGAAGGGGTAATTTCCAGGTCTCACTGCGAAGCACTCGCTGCTGTATAGGGTTTCTTAGCCACGTCCCTCAGTATTGTCTCGAATCTTGGGTCTGAGAATAGTTTGTTGAAGTCGGCGAGATTTGCGGTAAAATACTGAAGTAAGTCGCCGTTGTCAAGGACATTGAGCGTTGTCTGGCCCAGGTCGGCCATAATGGTGGTGTAGAATGATTTGGCAAGCATTTCAGCATAATGCCAGATCTGGTGAAATTCCTTGTATGGGTACTTAGCTTGTTGGTCGCACTTCCAGGTGTTTGTGAATCTGGTTGAATCACGGTCAGGGAAGTAAAAGCAAGTGGAATTGACCACGATTCAAGAGGTATCGGATTTGAACTGCGCTGCATCTGAAATCCGTAGAAGGGCCAGGAAGAACATTTGACCTTCATTCATATAATATGCTACCATCGGTTCCATCGTCATATTTACGGGCATATAAGCGGCCTCTTTCATTTCGTATATGGTTTGCGCAAAGTACTAGGAAATTAAGGACTTTCCCCACCACAAACTCGCCGTTTGGTTTCTATCCATACTCAATGGGAATGATTGCTTCTCTTGTCTTGGACCATAATTGGCTACTAAGCGTACTTTCTTCCTACCCGTTTCGACATCGATTACGCAGGAAATGAAGGCCTCGATTGAACTCCTCTCCCCTAATTCATCATTTTTGTCATCTTCAAATCTGATACGGATCTGTTGAAACTCGCACTCTGTAAGCGGGTTATTGAGATACGCAACATCGGCCAAGTAAGTCGTCCACTCTTCGGCATCTTGGTTCTCAATGGCGTAAAGCTGATAGGCAACGCGGTATTATTCGTGTAATAGTAATCGTATACTGAGAGCTTCTGTGGTTTACATATTGGGCGTATCTTTAAAGTCATGAAAGATGGCCAGTTGTCAAAATAAGTCGTATTTGTGATGGTCGCATTGGGGTCCGATATGACAAGAGTGACAGTATCATAGCCAGAAGTGGCAAGATTGAGAACCGAAAACAAAACTGCAGCTAGTATTCCTCCAACAATAGCAAAAGGAGTAAACCATCGAAACGGATAGGGTCTAGTCAGCGTGTAAGAAAACCATGACTAGTGCGGTGGCAAGGTAGGCATTGTTGCAAAAAATCGGGACTTTCGCTCTTGGCTGAAAACTGGCACACTGCGGATCGGTTATCTTTATAGGGCTAGAAAGACATTTCTTGGTTCTCAACATTATTTCAACTTGCTTCTAGCCCCAAGCCAATCAGGTCATCACATTAGGGCGCATGTGTTGATTGCCAAGGGTTGGATTCTGATCGAGTAGCGCCACTGAGAATATTAGCACACTCTTTACATGACATGGGAGACACTTAGGCTACTCTGGTAATGCGCCACCGCAATTATTTGACTATGAGACCAACAACAAGCTATCAGTCTTCAGCCTTGAATTATCAGTCTTGCTTGCGACTTGATCTATTGTGAAATATTGTCCAAAGTTTTCTGGCGCATAATTAGTAGCTTTAGGAGGCAGAATAGTTTTGCTACGCTATCCTCTTGACTCTAAAACGTTCAAAGGCTATATTTGTTAAGAAGGCCGAGAACACTGCCTCCTTGTGAGTGTTATGCTCATGCAAGGCTGAGATTGTAGCTGACGCAAGTTTTCGTGGGGGCCAAAAACCACCATAAGTCTTCGGTATCGAACTATTGCTTAAACTGACGACTCAGCTTAATCTAGCCGAAAGTATTCCCTCGAGTAACCTCCCGCTGAAAGCTTGATAGCTTTAACATATCATGAAGAAATGATTGACAAATGTTATGATCTTGATGTTGCTTCCTTCATGCTAGTAATAGAGTACAGCTACTCCAGCAATGCCACAATCTCACCAGGCTTTTCATCGCTCTTATTTTGCCACGAGAGCCCTCCAATTCTTCATCTCTTGTTAAAACATTGGGTTTCAGCAACCGCAGACGGCGCTTCCAGTGATCATTGCGCGGTGGATCCTCGAAAATTGACTATAGCGTCTTCTTCTGGCTTTCTTATATGTTACTTTAAATGCATCTTGAACGCGATGGTGATTAAATTAATATTGTGATTGACTATGATCAAGCTTGGTAGGCGAGAAATTACTTTTTGATCTAGGGAAAGACTTTTTCTTGGAACAGTCCACTTCTTCGCAACTCCTCGCTTAACAGAAAACGTGTGGGTGGAGTGACTAGGTCGGTAATGTTTTCATGTATCCTAAGATACATATTGCTAGTATCCCTTTGTTTGGTTAGCAAGGCACGAAGAGATGCCTCCGCCTTGTTGGAGAGGTAGAAATGCATCAGGCGTAGTAGTTTTCTATCTAACAGCTATTTCATTCATGCCTCCGTTGACAAATCAATACACATTCACTACATCCATCACTATGATTTTTGGGTTTCTATTTTTCATCCAGCATGGAGATATAATAGCTTTGAAAAGGATAGCAAACTATACGCCATTGTACTAGGATACGATAGTTAAGAAAGGTCTTCCTAGGTAGCATGATAGTTTGAGCAAAACGGGGCTATTAAAAGTTCTCTAGTTTAAATAGTAAACCAACTTAATAGTGCTTTTCAGCAAGACTTTCCCAATTACTAAATCACTAGGGCAAAGGGAAAAGATTCTCGAAACAGCCATAGTGTGCCACAACCCCGAAGATACCCATGGACGAATCGTCGACTCAAACTTGATATATATTGTACCATCGCAAAAAGCTGGCAAGTCAAGGTTACTTAACATTCCTTACATCTCTATCGTTTATTCATTCAAGACAGAAAGTACCATTACAAGGTGTACGCAACATTACATCAAACACCTCCAATAATAATAATAAATTTTCGAGGAGTTCCTTCACCTCCTCAGCACGCGCCAGTACGACAAAGTCGGAGATTTCTAGAACCCGGACGGCAACTGGTGGATCAGCGGTGATCCCTCGGTCGCCGCATGGGCTGGCGATAGCTTACCCCGCGAACGAACCAAACAATTCTCCTTTAGCTTGGGTAGCTTCGATTAGTACAACTTCATGATGAAGAACCTGTTTGCCGAGGGCGGTCATGTGGTGGTTGATGGGGAGTCGAATGGTGATGGGCCGGGGATGAGGAAGTATTGAAATGATGTGGCTCTGATCTTCAGGCTAGAGGAGGGCAAGATCGTGGAGCTTAGGGAGTATGTGGATTCTAGTGTCGTCATAAGTCAAAAAGCAGCACCGTGATTCATGAGCGAGTAACTGAGTACAGACCATGCTTCTGATCGCTACATGTTACACCAAGTGTGCTACTATTATCGTTATAGTAATTGATACATTAGTAATAAGTTTTAGTAGCTAAATATGATACGGCAATCAAACTAAAGCCTGTCGAACAATTAAAGCCTTTGTACAAAACAGCTTGGTCTAGGCTGTGTACTTGAACGTAAAGCTACTCGTCTCAACGGTATCCCAATCCCCCTCATTATCCTCATTGCCAAAAATATGCAGCGCCATAACTCTCATGCGGTAAGTTCCTTCCTCCAGCACTCTCCCGTCAGCCATCAACCCGTTAAAGTATGCGCGCACCTCACCCCTCGGGATGTAAGTTAGCGGGAACCCAGCCAACGGTCCGAGTGTCTTGTTGCCTTGCAGCACATCCACACGTAGCAAACGCGAGCCAACCGAAGGATACATGTACACATTAGGCATGTTGTAGATGTCACCTCGGTCGGTCCAGGGCGGGTTCTGGGGATCAGGGCGTGGGATGGTGTAAGAGGCATTTGCAGGTGCCTCTCCATATCCTTGTGCGAGGTACGCGGCTCTAGACGAGAGAACAGTCACACTGCGCATACTGCCTACGACACCGAGGTATGGTAGGTTAAGTTGCTTGCCTATGGCGATGAAGCCGCTGTAGACGGGCAGTAAAGTCGCGTTGACACCCCCAGGCGGCGTGATGTCGACGGTCACATTGACGGATTGGCCAGCGGGAACGGTGATGCGGTTGGACGAGAAGGAAACAGTGGCCCATGCATTCACAATGGAATTGGAAATCAAGCCTGGACTGAAGAGGAAATTTTTTGGATCGATTGTGCTAATGGTGACAGCTTTGCGATGGCTCAACTCAAGCACCTCGTCTGCAGTGCCAGTGTTGATGACGCTGAAGGTGTGAGTGCCAACGAAGTGTTCGGTATCGTTGAGTGTAATGCTGTCGATGTTGATCTCGAGGGTAGTGCGTGCAGCACTCCAGGCTTGCACAAGGCCAGCGCCTTGTTGTGGGACAGGAGCAAGGATATCGGGATCGATAGTTTTGTCATGGTACCAGGCCAGTGGCTTTGAGGTGTGCATCAGAAGTCTGCGAAGGCGTTTCGGTTCCAGCTTGCCGTATACCTCACCGAGCAGTGCGTAGACGCCTGCGACCAGAGGAGCTGACATGCTGGTGCCAGTCATGACACGATAGCTACCCATGGCCGTCGGAAATGTGCTCAGAATGTTCTCTCCGGGCGCTACAACCTCTGGATTCATGCTGAGTTCCCAGGTCGGGCCCCAGCTTGTCAGAGTATCTGAGACGTACCCACCATCCTCATTGTTTTCAAGCTCCTCGAGGTGTGTCTGGGACCCGTTGGACGGGATAGTCACGGAGACGGTAGCACCCTGCGAAATCAAGGAAAGCCAATCTTCAGCAGCATACGAGGGGACCCTGATAACGCCCTCGATGCCATCAGCGTATAAATATGGGTCGTCTCGCATCGTCAGATTGGTGCGCTCATAGTACGCCATGAAGCGCCCGCCCTTTGCAGCGATATTAGCACCTTGGTCTTGCGGGTAACATTGGGTTGCGCGTGGATCCTTGAATTCCAAAAGGACGATGCGCTGGCTCAGATCTGGTGTATCATCGGGCAGCGGTTTGCAGGCGTCGTCGGCATTGGCAGCAGACCAAAGCGGGAGTGTCGCGCCGGCGGCGAATTCTGGCACACCCCTCAAGAAACCAAACTCGCGTGTACTGTTGGCGGTAGCATTGGCGCTCGTCTTGTAGGAGCCTCGCTCGAGAAACGTGGGGAATTTGGTATTGGACACCGCTCCCGTGCCTGTGGCGCTGAATCCCGTTGCTGGCGTTGAGCCGTAAAATATACCCAGCCCACCACTGTTGCCTGCAGATACCACAACGGGGATACCGGAATCGACAATGCGGGAAATGATGACGGCACGTACATCCTGTGCCCAACCCGAGGCATCGCCGTTGGAGTACGAGATGATGTTGGCTCCATCTTCCACGGCACGAGCGAATGCGAGGACTTCGATCTCGTCTATCGACGTAGCTGTACAGCCCCACATTCGGTATGCTCCCAGCCTTACCCCAGGAGCAGAACCCGTAAAGCCATATGTGTTGCCCTTGAGCTGAGCGGCGATAGTGCCGGCAACGTGCGTGCCATGTCCGACGCAGTCGTCCATGGGATCGTCGTCTGGCTTTGGTTCGTTTGTGCCAGGGGTGTAGTTGTCGCCCGTGAAATCGTACCCAACTTCGACCAAACAGCCTGGCCCGAAACAGCCGCCAAGGGCGGGATGGGTATAGTCAACGCCGCTGTCAACGATTGCGATGAGGAAGCCTTTGCCTGTCACGCCCTCTGCGTGCAGCTTGTCAACCTGGGTCATGACATGAGTGGAAAAAGTATCCTGCGATTCCGCCTGCCGCTTGACGCGTTGCGGCTGAGCAGGTACTGCAACACTCTTTTCGCGCGAATGGGCCGTGATACGGATCGGCCATATGTTCTCTACTTGTGGCAGTCCCTTCAGCTGATGCATCAAGTCCCCGTCTCTTGAATCTGAGCTGGGGCTTGAGGTCAAGTTCTTGAGCTGGAACGAGACGCCGTTGAAGAATCGGAAGCTGAGGTCCTTGCGAGGCTCGACTTGCACCCCGATTGCCGCAAGCGAAGCATAGAAGCTTTCCGGTGTCTCGCTGTCATTTGCAAACTCGACAATGTAGGAACCAGGCAAAATGCCGCTGGCGACGGGCGTGTCATTTACCGCTCGTTGCACAATCGCATTGGTTGGGAGGCGGGCATGTACCGATGTTGAGATGGCGACTGGCGCACCCAGCACAAGGGCCGCAATGGCACAATGTAATTTGCCCATCTCTGAGAAGGTGGATGAGGGTCAAGGCATGCTCGGATGCATCTTGTATTTGTACGTATAAACACCAAGCCCGTAGCGGGGACACGGCTGCCGGACAAGCGGTATAGATGCGACGAGAATCATGCTCACCTCGTATAACTAGGGGCCCTGGCACGGCGAGGTTCCCTTATGTGCTCCGTGGGTGTGGAGAGAATAGGAACACTAACATGGAGATCGCGGATCGCGTCCACTTTTCAATATTGATTATCGTCCTCCTTCCCCTTTCGGGCCTTTGGCCGGACAATTAATGCTGCGTCCACCGAGTTGTTAATATCTTTGGTAAGGTGACTTGCTAAATTTACATTTTAACATGGTCCTATATGATATTGTGAGATGCACGTTTACCCACATTTGTATGTATACAACATGCGCATGTCGTATTCTGGATACGACTGTCTGTCATGCGACCTCGTGAAGGTAAACGACTAAGTCAACTGACCATTTATTGCCAAGCATGTGCAACAGTGTTGATGTTTAGAGGTGCTTGAAATAAAGTTGTCGGCTAACAATCATATCCTCGTACAGTACGTATGGTCTTGCGCTAGCGGGCGACTTGGTATAATGGACAACCATCAAGTTGGTAGTTGGGATTACACGCACATCAGGCACATCATGAAGCGGTCATTGTATAGGTACCATGTCGAGAGAATGTGTCATAGTCAACCAGAAATCAGGTATGATATAGATCACACGGATTTTCATGACATCCACGAGGTAGCAGTATACATGCGGCTTCTAAAGTGCCTCAATAGGTATAGCGTTGCCGAACTTCGTTCTACATATGAGAGAGGAGTGTTGTTCAACACTTCAAAACGACCTCTGGGTGAAGGAATGTCTCCTATGACATAATGACGGTTTCTCACTATAGAACTACTTGGTTCCTCGCAACTCTACTCTACCTTACAGCCACACTTTGTGTGGATCCGCTCTATACCTCTACGTGCAGCCCACGCTCTCTATGCTCTTTCTTCATCATCACTTCAAGGAAGCAGCATCATTGTATCAAAAGGAAATTACAAGCTGTAGATTCTGTTACGCAGAGATGATGCAAAATACATCTACAAATGATATAGTGCATCATGTCTAATTTTAATACTTATTGCGCAGCTGTGTGCTTTTGCCAACACACCGACCAAGATCATCTATCCTGAGTTTCAGCTGCGCTCAACTAGTAGCTTACTCTTCTCCGCCAAATTACAGGCCAACTGAGTCATGGGAATGTTCTGCATGACATCGAATACCGAGCACTCAACGGCCATATCCTCCTCAGATATCATCATTAAACTTGCTAGTCTCTGCACCATAGCTTTTGTAATGATCTGCACAGCCTCTTCGCTGATGGTGCCACACCTAACCAACTCTTCGCGCAGCGAGACAACTTGCCCCTTGTTTGCTGAAGTTCCAGTGGCGAGGTTTCGCAGAGCACCAAATCGCGCATCGTATATCCAGTACCATGTATCGCCATGCTCGTTGAACGGCAGACCGCACATGACCTGGCCTGGATGCTTGGAAAGGCCTTCGATGGCTGCTGCTAGCAGTCCATGCAAGTCGGATGTTTGCATGACCTTGAGTCCCATTGCCTTTACGTGGTCAGCATATACATCTTGCCCAGCAATGAACCCCACAGACAAAAGGTAACCGATATCGATGGTCATTGCAGGTAATCCCTGGCCTCGCCTGAATGCGGCAAACTCGTCCTGGAAGTTATTACCGGCAAGACGATTCGCAAAAGCATGTTGGGACATTACGGCGTGCGAAACGTGAATGAAATGCGTCGAGTAGCCAAAGACAGGTGCACGCAACATTATGCCGAGATCCGGGCTGCAGTGCCCAAAGAGCGGTTGCTTAAATTCCGCTTGGAGGATGGCTGGGAGCCACTGTGCGAGTTTCTTGACAAAGAGATACCTGGGGTTCCATTTCCCACCAAAAACAAAAGAGGGGAGCACGTGAAGCGGGTGAGGCAAAAGCAGAATATGTTCTTTAAGCACGTTGCAATAAGGTTTGCCAAGAAAAAGTTATCTTGTAGTGTAGTTGTTGGAGTCATGGTCTTGCTAGTCTGGAAAAGCACATCGTGTACCCAATGGTTGGCATTATTGGAATTGCTCAAAAAGACACTGTCAGAGCGATGGTGAGGGATCACATAATTAGATACTGTTTTTGGGAAAAGGTTTCGCTTAGCAGGTGTACTAGCTGTGAGTATTATGTAAAATGACTGGTACTAACTATTGTTTGCTGTACCGAACTATTGTAGGATGTCTCTTATAGCAGTCATCGTTCGAAAATGGCTATCAAAGCGAGATCTTGTTTAGAAGCTGTAATCTCAAAATATACTACATCTCGATATTCATTCATCAGAATAGATTATAGCTGTGTCAACGTATCGTATATCGTTGTCCTAACAGTATACAACAGCGCTGGTCGGCGGTAACCCTTCAAGTGTATATCATTCATATTCACAGATACTAAAACCCTTCAGCAATTGATTTGGCAAATGTATATCGTAGTATTTGCATGTTAATCTCGATAAAGCAATATGGCATTAGGTCTAACGAGCGTTTGCCCATGTGACGTACAACGGTATTGACAATAGCAGATATTACCTTGAATCAATCTGGAAAAAAACTTCCGATCCAAAGTATACACTACAGCTATCCAGCAGCCAAGTCCCCTTCTCTCATAGCTATCAACATCCCCTAACTTGAAACTGTACAAGACTTGCACTTAACACAAATATAGCAAGAGACGTGGTTTTAACCGACAAAAGTATCATTTAACCCTAAATCTAGCCATCCCAACTTATCCCACGTCCTAGGAGGCACCGCAAACAGCTTCTGCGTTGTTAAAACATACTGCATCAAAACCCGGCTCAGTTCAACCCACATCACCAGCCTCACCACCAACGTATCCGCATTTATCATTGCTACCTCAGAAATCCTATCACTCCCTCGTTCAATTTGAACTGCAAAATCGTCCTCTTCACCTTCATACTCGGCTTAATGCCTTGTTCAACGCTACATACGTAGGCGACCTCTCCTGGACGACAGCGCTCCAAGACATATCCAAAGGCGAATTTTCGGTTGAGCCCCTGATAAGTCATAATAATCACCAAATATCGTATATGAGCAGGAGACATACAGGAGGTTGATCGGGAAGGTGTTCTTTAGCATTGGCAGTGATTGTGAATGCCATCGTTCTGGTTTATTAGTAGAACCTTTGATAGATTTAAAGACCCCATGCATAACTTGATAATGATGAACAAGGCGTATAAAATGAATATTTGAAGCGATATCTACACTAAATATCCCACCTACAGCCTATATCGAAACTTTCGATTATTAAAGTCTGTAGCATCCTCAATGATGCCCATTTCGCTGGCAGTACGATCTTGCAGGCCTTCAGCTTCTTCCCGGTCGCGCTGGGCGTTCCGTCGCGCGAGCAAGGCGCGTATGGCGAAGGCCAGAAAGAATTGGGCAACTGAGCAAGCTAAGACTGTTCTGACGCCTGTTTCGTAGATGGGGGCTTCTTTGGCTAGGAATGCTTGGGGTCCTAGAGTTTTTTTCACGTCAAATCGAGGGAATGCAACGAATTTGGGGTTTCGTGGTAGGGACTCACCGATGATGTTACCAATACAATAGGCCAGGAAAACAAACGCAGTTCCCGTCGTCCGCTTCGTGTATCCGGCGACGTTGGAGGCGGGGAACTGGAGTGCGATTACTAGTCCGCCCACGTACGAACCAACCTGAGTCTTCTTAGCCAAACCGGTCCACTTATTCGCGGAATACGTAGGTTGAATACATACCAGATAGTAGCCCGCAAGACACCCTGCCAGATTCGTTCGCGGCAACTGCCATATCAAAGTGGTTCCGATAATCGTAGGACAGATATAAAGCGCCATCATATACGTCCGCGCATTCGGCAGACGAGAAGCAAGAAACGGACCGCTAAAGACCCAAAATACCTGCGCAAAGCCCTGCGGGATACCGTACAGCGTCGTACGCAGCGCATCGCCACCAGCCACATCTTTGATAATCAACTTACCAAAGTTGGACATACCGCCATTGATAACCTCATTCAAAAGAACATAAACAAAAAGCAACCAGATCTGCGCATCTGTCAAAGCCTCGAGGATCTGGCGCGGCTTGATAGTGCGATTGTACACACCGGTACGATTCTTAGCCGCGCGTGCAATTAGCAGCGCTTTCTCCTCTACAGAAAAGTTCTTCGCGGACATGATGTTATCGGGTAGTTTAAAGAAGAGGAGCAAGGACCAGAGCACCGTCATACCCCCACAGATAAGGTAGATGATCTTCCAGACGATAAAGTTGTTAGCGTAGCCGACACCGTAGAAGAGGATGCCGCCGATGGCGGCGCCCATGCCGTTGAAGCAGTAGAACATGCCTGCGCGAGCGGGTTGCTGGTCACCCATGTACCACATACCTACAATCTATCCACCAAGCAAAGCACACTCGGTATTAGTTTCCTTTGTTCTAACGCATCTGGATATCGGTGTTCTCTTCGAGGACTTACCATCATAAACGCAGGCGTAACAACAGACTCAAAAATACCAAGCAAAAACCGCATAGCCGCAAAGCCCGCAAAGTTATTCGTCGCAGCGGTAACCAGCATGACGGAGCCCCAGCAAAAGCAGTAGATGGACACAACACGCGCGGTGGGGAAGTGTTGGGCAAGATATGCGGATGGCCACTCAGCTACCAGGTAGGCAAAGTAGAAGATGGAACCTAGCCATGAGTACTGTGCGCCGGTGATGCCGGTTGTCTCGAATAAATCGAATACGGCGGAGTAGCTGATTGCTTGCTTGTCGATGAATTGGAGAAAATAGGTGCCGCATAGTAGCGGTAGTAAACGCAAATCGACTTTCCTGGATACGCGTTTGTTGGCTGCTTCGTCGTCTAGCAGCTCGGCTATGTATTCTGGAGTGATGTTGTGCTGTCGCAGGAATATATTTGCTTCATCGAGATCTTGGACTTGGCCTTCGATTTCGCTTTCTTTCTTGTTCAGAAAGTCTCCGTCGAAAGTGTGTGTTTGTTGGAGCTCGATGTCTTTTGACATGGCTGATTCCTTGCTCTTTTCATTAAGAAAGTCAGCAGTAGTTTGCATGATTGCAGTTGAAAGATTCCAGGTCAGGGATGAGTTTGCAAGCGTTGAGAGCGGGATGAAAAGACCTTATGGCTGTGGGGATTCAATTATTGCATATGTCTTCGAGCACGCAAGACCAGATGAACCTTGGTACGGCTTGTTGCGCGATACCCTACAAAGATACTATATGATAAAAAGGATATTGGATGAACCTTGTCAATATTTCCGGTTGCATCGCAATCGGACGTCAATCGTAGTTCCTTCCTATCTCGTTATCGCGGGAATGTTGCACTAGAAGCAAATGCAACATCGTTTGCAAAAAGGCTGTTGGGGAATGTGGGGTACTGCAAGGTTGAGCCATAGGTAGTGTACTCAATGCAAAGTCGTGTTTCTGCACGGCATACTACCTTTGGTTAAGATAGCCCAACCATTTGCAAAGACAAAACCCTGTATGGACAATTCGCGTGGCGTTAGTGCGACTACCCAAGAAGATGATTTGAGCAAAACTTCCCATACCTTGTAATTGATAGCGTCTTGGCTACATTGTCCTATCAACGCTGACCCACTCTTGAGGCAGACAACCGTATCAGAGATACCCAGCCCTCTATCGGAGGTGTTCCCCGGCGGTACATAAACATCCGATAACACGTTTTGCCAACACATTGGGATGGTGACCTACTTGCATCATTGTCGTATAACATGATGAATTTCGAGGAATTAGATAATCGTACGATAAACACAGAGTTGAAATGAGAAAATGCGGGTGGGAAGTGGCAGTCTCGATAAAGGAGACCTGCCACTAAACCTATTCCAAGAAAAATCACATATCAAGCCTCAGTACTAGCACATCTAAGTAATTACTCGCAATCATCACATTCACACTAAACCCACCTCTACTGCTGCGAAAGCTCAACCTTCCCCCACCAAAACTCACTCTCCTGCACCGCATACTCATCTCCCACCATCACCGCCAACTCCCCCACCTCCTTCCCTCCAATCAACTCCGTATTCCCCCTCCCAAACATCATAACCTTGCCATCCTCCCTCTGATACCTTTCCCACTCCGGCCTCCCTCCATACCGTCCCTTAACTCCATTCGGACTCCCCGTGCATATAAAACTCGTGACATACGCATGCAGGATCCCAGATAACTCGTCTTGAGATTTCAACGCCGAGCAAATAGCTGGATCGCGCACTTCGTAGAACATGTTGTCGGCGTGGCGAGCGCCGTCGATGATGTCGCGGCGCATGGCCCAGTGGTAGAGGTATACGGGTACATCTGGGCTGGCAAAGAAGGCAGTTTGGCGGACGGGTGCTACGTATGCGTATTGAGCGTATGCGGCTTCGATGCGCTTGTACATCTGTCCGACTCCAAGATTTACTCGTTCTTCTTTGTAAGCGGAGGTGGGATCCGAGGTGGGGTCCGGGTAGAGTTTGTTGATTATTTCGATGTCCTCGCTGCTTAACTGTGGGAGGAGTGTTTTCCAGAAGTCTAGGAATTCGAAGGAAGAGGATATGGATTTATTTACGTATAAGGAGCCTTCGTTTCCTTGGAAGCCGGTCATTATTGGGAGTTTGTGCCATCTGTTGTTTCGCCAGGCGTCGATGGGGCGGCCGCGGATAATTTCGTTGTCTATTACGGGCTGGAATGCCCAACGTAAACTAGGATTGTACTTTTGGAATACTTTGGTTTGGGCTTTGGCGATTGTCGAGGTAGGGAGTTTGCGAAGATAGGTGAAGACCTCGGACTCGGGTAGTGATGGTGGACATTCGACTTCTTTTAAAAAGTCTTGGAATTGCATCTCATGAATCTCCGCATCTGGGTTGCGGACGGCGCGGGACGTTGGGGCGCCAGATTCGATAATGACTCGATGAAACTTTGGTGCTTTGCCCTCTTCGTAGTTGAGTAGATGGTGGCCAATCTGCCTGGCATGAGCAATTGAGCAGCTAGAGAGAAATAATCAAACATACCGAATGTGCACCCGCTGAAAGACCTATAAGAGTGACACAGTTCTTGTCGCCTCCAAAGGATCCAATGTTCTCCTCAACCCAGTCAAGCAGGCATATCTGATCTTTCAAGCCTAAATTGAGCGCACCCTCTTTAGCGCTGAGCTTAGATGGGAGGAAACCCAAGGCCCCAACTCGATACCCAAACGAGACTGCAACGAACGGCTTCTCAGACCACCCAACCATCGATGCAGTGTCATGCATAGCAGCATTTCCGCGATTGAAAGCCCCTCCGTGTAAGTAAACCGCAACCGGCAGCCCTGTCGATTGTTCAGTTCCCGCTTGACGGAACACGTTTGCAGTAAGACAATCTTCGCTTTCGTCCAATGTTGGCCCTACTTTGACGAATTGCTGTGCGGGAGCCCTGGATCCAAATTTTGTTGCATCTATGATCCCTTCGCCCTTTTCTACTTTTTCTGGTGGCCTGAACCGACGGTCACCGGTCGGTGGTAAGGCATATGGAATGCCTCTGAATGCCTCAACTGCATGAGGGTATTTCTCGTATAAGACAGTGCCTACGACTGTTCCTTGTTGGAGCTGAATCTTGGGCGACGACATTGAAATGAGGGTATGGATAATTCCTAGCGTCTGTTTACTACTGGGTTTTGCCTAATGGTCTAGTGAATTGATATGGATATATTTTTGAAATTAGAAGAGGCTTTGTTTTTTCGATTTGATTGGGTTGCTTTCTTGATTTGAGTACATCGGTAATGCCTGTTTGAGAACGGTGGTATAAAATGTGCCGACATCCCTGCGCGTCTCGGATCATGTTATCTGCTCTCAACTGATCAGCCCCGCCCTCGCCCCACCTTGCCTCTTCCTATCTCCTCAGTTCCCCGCTGCAATATGCGATGAGCTACTGGTTGCATGTATGCCCCAAAGTTTTCCAGTCGGAGCCGTACACCCAGCGCATAACTTGGCCGAGAATGGCTGGCGATCCGCATACTACATGGCATTGGGCACAAGGCAGTAGCCGTATCATTTCTGCTACAGCCTTCCTATCATATGAACCAATGGTACCATCATTGGACTATACCTATAAATTCAAATAGAATACTGATACCCACAATGAGATGCTACCCTGATATGAAACACTAGGAAAACAAGTAAGAAATATTGAACATCTAACCACGTTCCTTGCCCGCATACCACATCGCCACTTTACCGCTCGAACCCCAACTTATCATTGCCACTACTCGCCAAGGGATCCTAATCTTCGTCCTTTTCTTCGCTCTCCTCGATCCTCCTTCTTTTCCTGGCACGATTATCATGCACAGTCTTCATATGCTCTTTCATCTTATCTCTCCGCCCCTTGAAACTTCGCCCTTTCTTTCCATCAGCGGGGTACCTTGAGCGATGGCATCCTTTCTCTGGGCAAAAATATTCCGTAAGCTTTCTTGCATGCATGTTGGTGTAGTGCCGTTTGAAGTCCGCATGGCGATTGAATGTGAGGGTTTCATCGTTGCGACAGGCTTTGCTTAAGCACGTGAATCTTCCACCCAGGGTCACTTGGCCGACAATGGGATCAACTTCGGTAGCTTGTGAGATGGATGTATTTTGAGCAGTTGTTACGGCCGTCGGTGTAGCAGTGGATGAACTACATGGTGAATCGTTGTCTTGGCCGCACGTGTGAATGCTCTCGTGATGTGGGGATGGGGGCGTTAGACTGATTATGTCAGTGAACTCGAAATAAGGATGGTACACCAACTTACTTTGACTGCTCAAAAGCTATATTTTGACCGAAAGGTCCTGTCGACTGAGGTTGGTTTGGTGGGAAAGGTGAAAGGAGGGTTGGAAATCTATTTTTCTAATGTTAGAATGAGTTCGTGTGATTGCTGGCCAGAAATAGAACAGAGACGCGGGGTTTTTCATAGTGGCTTTACGATCGCAAAGATGTTGATCTGAATAGCCAACTCTGGTGACAATGTACGAAGGCATAGAGCAATATCATCCGAGGAGCAACGTAGATGTTGTCGGATTGGATGCCGAGTCGATAGCGAACGATAGGATATGAAAAAAATTCGAACAGATGGTTTCTGTTCTGGAAATATGTGTTGATGACACCGGTATTGCAGAAGTGAGATATCATCTGCCCGACATGAAATCGGTTTCTGCTGGGGAATCTTGACGTCCTTGTTGAAAGAATTGAGTGAATAGTGAGTAAACAGCACAAGGAAAATGCCAAGGAAATGACCGGCCAGCACTTTAGCTCAATGGTAAGTACCTAATTCTCTTATGACAGTGCAGCTCGGTCGAGCGTGTAATGTTGAGAATCATAACAACTGAGGAAATCTTACATTAATGAACGCCGGTTGACGACTTTACATATGGTTCCAAGAAGCGTGCCAGGTGAAATCCAATGGAAGGTAAATAACCAGAAAGCAAGTACAATCCCGGAAAAAGTCTGGAATATCGAGTCGTAGAGTCGAAAAGACATGTCTGATGGTAATAGGATCGTGCTCCAGTAATCAGTTGGTAAAACAATGAAAGTGCCAGTATGGGGAGATCGAATCCTGTACTCGTTGCCAGCGACCAGTGGATGGCTTGCCGCAGGAAAAAAATCGCACACAAGTTGGCTCCAAGCGCCTTCTCGTTCGAAATTATCATCTTCAGATCTATCAGAGTCGTTTGAGGGTAAGATGCCAACTTTTTTTCCTGCCAGAGTCACTCGGTAGACGGCCATCTATAGGCTCGAAGGTCCCTAAAATCTTCCAGTGGGGATATCTGATTGGGTGCCATTGTCTGATCCAAAGATGGTTGGTTCGCAGAGTAGAGATCCTGGTGGAATCCATTGAATCCATGGGGGAAGGCCACGACAATATTACTCATACTCCTCGGTACGGCCAAGCGCATCCATTGGTAACGGGATAAGTGCGGAATCCAAGTGAATCTCAATATACGGATCGTAGTTTGGCAGATTTGATAGACAGTAGCTGATAATCTTACGCAAGAGGATTGTGGATCATACTTACTCGGTGGTGTGTGTTTTCCAATCCAAAGACTGATCTCCGCTTCCGTTTCCAATACCCAAATTATCGTCCAAGCCAAACTGGTATTGGGCCGAGGGGCCAGCTGTAGTGCGTTGGTTTGGAGCCTGTGGTGCGAAAGCGAATGGTCGACCAGTATGCCAGTCAGCTGACACCAAAGCTAACTGTACTGAAGGTGGTTGATTTGCAGTCTCCGAGTTATCTGAAGTGCTCGAGTACGAACGTGTCATGTCCAAAGGTAGTGCACCGTCGAGGGATTCACGTGACGCTTGGGTCATGTTGTAGCTATTTGCGTGCTGGCCGGAAGACATGGACGAGAATTGGGATGTCGATCTGCTCATACTATTGTTCACCGGAAACTGAGAGTAATCGCTGGATGTAGATAGATTTCGGGTTATGCGGGGACAAGGCTGCGATTCAGCCTGATGCAATGAACTTGGGGGCTCCAATGAAGCCGAAAACGAGCAGAGCGACTGATTGTATCCTTGGAGCATTGGCGATGAAGTGGTTTGCTGAAAAACGATCCATTGAGAGTCAGGCCCAGTCACATTGGAGCTGTTGAGATATCGAGGACTTTGACTATTTGGAGAGTGGTGCATCATGCTATTCCTATCGAAGTATGGGGGGTTTGCCATTGGCAGGAGATGGGGATGATCAGAGGCCAAAGAGTTGTCCATGAAAGACTAGTATGTGCAAGAGCAGTTTGTCTCCGGCTAGTTCGGTTCAAGAGCACAAAATGAAGCGATGAAGCGGTGCATATAATTGCAAGAATTTGCAGGGCAACAATTGCCTCGTTGGTCCTCCACAGATGTCTTCTGCTTGGCCTGCATGCGCTATTAACTTTTGGGTGGCGGCGTACCGGAAACTACAAGGCAAAACAGGCAAACAGGGCTGACTGGCGCTTGTCACGGTCAGTCGACAGCCGTAGTAGAATATGAGCCGTTACGTTGGCGAGTAGCATAGCGGCTGAGCAGCCGCATCCACTAGCCAGTCGTACACAGGCCAACGACATGCAATCTGACGCGGATTCAAAAGGCAACATGCATTGAACAAGAGAGGGTCGAGGCTGTGTATGATAGGCCATCAGACTACGTATATGTAGGTAGCGTAAAGGGCAAGGGCGCTCAACCCCGCCATCTAACCACGTCTCCCGCTTCATTCTCAGTATCAGAGCGTCCTTCAAAAAGCCAGGTCGATCCGGCTAGAACACATCATCTAGAACATGATCAATCACCGACCAGAGTGTGCTTGGATTCCTGGCCGGATTCCTGCCCGCATCTCTGGATAAAGTGATGGCGCAACCACTTACGCCTTGACAGTCCATACTTTGACGCTTGCATCTCCGCCGGCTGAGATGACCCTTGCTGCCTTTTCCCATGCCACACCGTTGACACCGTCTTTGTGGGCGTTGAGGGCCTTGATGCGCTTACCTGGATCCTCGGTACTCCAAACCATGACGTTGGTATCCAAACTGCCACTTGCCGCGTACTTTTCGCTCTCATCCCAAGCCAGGCAGGTGATGCGTGCAGTGTGGGCACTCCATCTGTCCGTGATGAGGTTCCAGCTTTCGCTTGCATCGTACGCATATATCTTGCCATTGGCCGCACCGACGGCGAGCTTGTTACCTGACTGCGAGAAGGCAAGCGCTGAGATTGGCGAAGTAGCGCGGCGCAACACCGTCTCGGTGTCCTTGAGCTCTGTGCCTGAAAGCGTGTAGATATGCACAAGCTTATCATCTCCACCCACAGCTACAGTAGTACCATGCGCGGCGATGGATGTAGGCGTGTACTTGACTGCTATTGAGCTGACTTGAGCGCCCTTGAAGTAGACGGCGATGGCATCGGATGAAGGGATGAGCACCGTGCTGGATGTCGCAGCGACACCCTTGGGCTGGAACTTGAGGTCATGCGCTTCTCCAGTGAAGATCTTGTCCGGTGCCGAAATGGAGCGCAACGTGTCGTCCCAGCCAACGCTGTAGAGTTCCTTTCCGCTACTACTGTTCGATGTGGTGATGCCAGCGACATAGCTGGTATGGGCTGCGCCTTCAACCTTGTCGGCCAGCCCTGTTGTCGTGTCCCATGCAAGGACGCGCCCCTCGTAGCTGCCGGTGGCGAAATTCGAACCTGCTATCGCAGCTGATGTGATGTTCTTCTGGTGACCTCGAATAACGCGCGTTGGCTTGGAGTTGCCATCAAAGAGGTAGTTTAGGTTTCCATCCAGGTCGACACTAACAATCAGACCATCGCTGCGGCCTGTGGGCCAGACTACGCCGACCTGCTGATCAGGCACACTGACAACACCTTCGTCGCCCATCCTCCACGTCTGGATCGCCTTGCCGGCTTCGGGGTCCCAGATGCGTACCGTCTGGTCAGCACTAGCAGTGACGAACCTATTCGAGTCCTTGGACCAAGAGATACCAAAGATACTACCGGTATGGACTCCCTCACCGATCTGATTCTTGGCCTCGCCAGTCTTGCCGTCGTATAGCCAGATGCGCTTGTCGGCGCCCACACTGGCGAATACGGAGCCATCGGGCGAGAAGGCGGTGCCGAAAACGAAGCGGTTGTGTTGCCCGCGCAGGCTGGTGTTGAACTTGAAGGGGGCACCGTGGTAGAAGACGAGGCTGGTGTCATCGGAGCCGGTGGCTGCGCGTAGAGGGCGTTGCTGGCGGATGGAGACACAGTTGATTTGCGACGAGTGGCCTGAGATCTCGCCCACGCTGTTGCCGCTGTCTGCGGTGATGCAGTGGCCGAAGCGCTCCTTGCCGTCGCCTACGGCAATGATGCGCTGCGAGTCGCCGTCCCAGGCCAGGTCGTTGATGCGGCCTGCGATGATGGGGTATTCGCCCTTTGTTGCACCCTCGCCGGCGCAATCCCATACTCTGACCATGCCCGAAACATCTCCGCTGGCGACATAGAAGCCCGAGGGCGAGAAGCGGGCGACAGTTGTCTGTGTAGTGTGCTGGGTGTACTGCTTGCTGACGGCGGGATCGTCAATGGAGCGCAGAAAGATGGATTTGCCAGACTGTAAGCACTCAATTAGCTTCGCAGCGCATGGGCAAGTACAAGATCAAAACATGCCGCATAGGCGATGCGCTCGCCCTTTGGGTCGGATGAGAGGGGCGTGGCCTGTCCGCGCGTGGTTGTAGGCGAGGCAGCCCATATGGCGTCTGTGGTAGTGGTAGCTTATCAGTGGGTGTGTTGCACTGCATATGAGAGGACTGCGTACCTGAGACAAGGGACATGGCGGGCGATGTGCTACTACAGGCAATGCTGGCGATACAATGGCGAAGATGAAGACGACAGAAGACAGAGTTTCTCCCTCACAATGGACATGGGCACTACGACATTGCCAGCGGTGGCTTCTGCCTCGTCACCGCCAACGTACGTGCTTGGGTACGTTTCAAGCGTCGACCAGCCGCGAGTAGCGGGGCAGGTGGGGGGGAGGGGGTTGCAGCTGTCAACTCAGCCTCAGTGCTATACACTTACCCCTTGCCCTCTTTAATTAAATTCATATCATGAATAATACCTGCTTGGTGATGACTTGACCCAGATATGTTTTCTACTCTCTAGACGACATAGAGTTCTGTTTTCTACCTAGGTCTCAAGATCTCTTCAGCTACGCAGATTCGGAAACTACGTGTTACCACGTGACTTCACTCAATTGAGTTGTGGTTTCTAACAGACCTAGCCAATTGCAAGATTATCACATGACCAGAATATCTTCACAAAATAGAGCTATAACCGAGCAGCCTTGCTGTTTTATCATCTGCTTCGAAAGGTAAAGAGAACGGTAATAACTGCAAAAAAAAAATATGCTTGCCTGGTAGTGACAATTATCGCAGACTGGACATTCACGTACATAGTTTTATGTACTACGTAAAATGCACTTGGATAGACGTTGTCAAGAAGCGCGTTCTTAGCACGTACTCTAGGTGTAGGCATTAATATTTTGATCTACTAGCTAATTGTCTAATATACAAGCTAGAGAATCGCTACAAAGGCTTCGTGATACTAACAATCCATCTCATACATGATATACTACATTGTCCTCTGTATCATCAGTATCATGGCCATGGCCGCGACGTGTCACAGGTCGTCTCTCTCCCAGCTGCAGTTGCTGCTCATGTGCATACCAGGCTAGAATGCCCGGTCATGCCATTGACGACGCGTTGAGTGACGTCGACGAGACACTCACCATGACAGCTCGTACACTATTGCTGAAGCCAGAACCAGCATTATGCCAGGCACTCTGGCCAAATCTTCCACGTCCACCCATGCCGTGTCCGCGTCCAAGTACATCTGCAGCGAGAAGAGGCTGGTCGATTTGGCCAGACCGAAACCCAACAAGCTTGGAATAGTTTCCCAGGCTGCGTATCTTGGCGCACGTCATTCTCCTGTCCGTCCTCAAGCACCATCCGCTTACTACCGTGTACATTTATATAGTAATACTACATTACCCTGCTACACCATTCTCCAAATAATACACACCTCGTAAATTTGTCAATCGCTTTCCCAAGCACACTCGTGTCTCTCGCTCTTCTAACACCACCAACGGCGGCCAATCGACTAGTCCTGCAACAAGACACCATCACGACACAATAATCAATCAAGCACAATGTGTATCATGAGGACTTATGAGACGCGTGGACGCACTGTCGTCGAGCCACCTCCCCGGCGCGGAAACTTCACTTCACACCCGCCAGCCGGTGTCATGCGCTTGCCACGTGAATGGCGCCGTACAGAGAGCATCAGCGATGACGGCCGCTACGTTGAGTACAGGTAGGTACCTAGACTTCCCCTTGGTCGCGGTGAAATACCTCGCGAGAACCTAACACTCTAATGCAGGAGATCACGATCACGATCCCGGCCTCGAGTGATCGAGTACTATGAGGAGCCGCGCCGCAGCACCACTCGCGCCAGGAGCGTGTCGAGGCGCCGCATCGGTGATGTTGAGCGCAGGACGCCCAGAACAAGCTATGTAGATCCACGCGGCAGCTACGTCGACGAACGCATTACCAGGAGAAGTGTCAGCCGGGTCAGGCACTGAATGGGTCTCTTTTAATGAATACGATGAATCTCAAAATGTAAGACTCTTGTGCAAACATGCATTGTGAATGCCGTACCGGAGCTGATACGCGCCAGTACAAAAGCGTCATGGACACTAGTTTTTCTCTCTACGTCCAGGATGCCTCCAAGAGTTTTTTCGGTTACGAACGTTATGATAGTCAGATAATGAGCATAAATTCCTACACAGTCTTCTTCCCAATTTCTCTACAGCGAGGCAACCATCCGATGTTCGTAATCACAAATGACGTACGCTTGTCTGCCTGCCTGCCTGCCTTTGACCTGACTCGAAGCATATTAACCGAGGAAGATGGAATCCGTCCAATCACAACCATTCATCTCCAGGCATCCCCATGATTCGTAATAGGAATCGAGGACCAGCGTACCTTCCTAGGGCGTGAAGTCCTAGTCGCTTGTCGCTACACGCTCCACTGTGGGTATCTGGATCAAAGTCTCTCATACCTTCGTTTGGCACCCAAGGTGAGCGAAGAGAATAGGAGAGTCATATAAATAATCGCTCATTCTGCACATTCTTCACATTCAACAAAGATACACTTACCTTTTTTCCTCACAATTTTCTATTCACAAACACGCATCGCAATGGCCTCAAATCCAATGGGCAAGTGCTGCATTGTCGGCGTCAAGCACCAAGGCACACCCAAAGGCAATGTCAAGCAAATCGGCAACAGTAAAATAATACCCCGTCCACGACCAGCATTCCCCCAAGACTAATCAACAAAAGTCCGCACATACTTTACCTATCCCGAAGACGGCAGCACCCAAAATGCCATCCTAATCATGACAGACGCCCTGGGCATGGACTTTCTCAACGCTCAGCTCATTGCCGATCAATTCGCCGTACGTTTTCTTCTACTGCATATAATACGTTTCTTTCGATATTAAAAACCCACGCAATCAGGCCAACGGTTACTTGGTCGTCATCCCTGACGTCTTCAACGGCACCCACATTCGCTTCCCCATCCCATCTTCATTCAGCCTGCAGGAATGGGTCGACAACACCATGCCGCGACCACCCACCGTCGACCCCATCTATGAAGCAGTAATCAATCATCTTCGCAACGAGCTAGGCGTCAGGCGACTCGGCGGCGTAGGCTACTGTTTCGGCGGCAAATACGTGTGCAGATGGTTGAAGCCAGGCGGTCTGGATGCAGGATTCATTGCGCACCCAAGTTTCGTTGATGCGGACGAAGTACGGGGTGTATCGCGTCCCTTGAGCATTGCTGCAGCAGGTAAAAAATTACATCGATATTCTCATCCGAGTTTGCTTGAGTACTAAGATTCGTTAAACAGAAACCGATGAAGTCTTCCCCGCTGAGAAGCGCCGCCAAACAGAAGATATACTCAAAGAGACAAAGGTGCTTTACCAGGTATTTCTCTACTCGCATGTCGAGCATGGATTCGCTACTAAGGCCGATTTGGAAAATGATCGGACGAGATTCGCAAAGGAACAGGCGTTTTTTCAGGCGGTATTTTGGATGGATGAGTATGTCAAAAGGGGGCGAGACTGATGGGAATTGCACCTTACAACTCACTACACATTCATCACACAACTATGCAGCTTCTCTATCAATTCCACCTCAAAAACACACCGTGAACACCCTTCCTTGCCTCATTTAGCATACTCAAGACGTTCATCCTCTCAGACAAAACTCAATCACCTACTTCTTCTCTTGCTCCTCCCCTTCCTCCTTCTCCACCTTCCCACCAACCCATGGCGGTTCCCCATCCCCATCGAACTCTGCCCACAAAAAAAACCCACACCCCTCCTTCCCTGGAACAAACCCCGCATGACACATCCACATATACCGTCCCCTTGACTCCTTCCTCTTCATTGCGCACCGCAGCACCGTCGGAATCCCACAGCGACACCTCGGCGTAAACCGCGGATGCAAACTCTCCTTGTACCACCGATACGTAACATTAATCCTTTTATTGCCAGCTAGGGGATGCGGATCGATAGCTTGCGCGGGCGCGATGCTGTGTTTCCACTCCTCCTGCATCTCCGCGTGCATGACTAATAAGGAATTATGGGGGAGGTGGATGCTAATCTGGCCCTGGGCATCCGCCGCCGACTCACCACCATCTGACGACGACGAGTCATCCTGCGCGACGACTTTACGAACCCGGAATTCCCGCGCGACACCGAGGCTCAGGCTTCCGATTACAGGGCGCGGACCGAGATAGGTGAGTTGGTCGGCGTGGTAGCCTACGCTTTGGTGCGGGCCGTCGTAGCAGTTTACGAAGGCGGTATTGGGGTGCCAGGGGTGAGGGGACTGGTGGGGGAGCTTTTGGGCGTTGGGGTAGTGAGTGCGGATTCGACGCGTGATTTCGGTGTTTACGGCTGTTTGGACGGCGGGGAGGGCCGCGAGGAGTGAGGGAGGGCTTTGGCGGACGTTCTTGAGAAAGGGAGGAGAAATTGTCAATATGGATATGGAAAAGAAAATGAAAAGGAAGAGGGGGTGGAGGAGATTGATTGGAAAACGCACATCTATTTGGCGCCCGTCGTAGATGTATTCCGTCTTTTGTCTTTCGACTTCTTCGAAACTGTTGACGTAGAATGCGTACGTGTGTGGACTCTGCACTACTCTGTCGAAGAGCTTGAATTCAAACCGGCTGTACGTCGATGATTCTTCTAGTAACTCCAAGAGAAGTGCGTCGGCTTGTTTGGCGGGGAGAAAGTTGTGGATGATGGAACATGGTGTATGTGTTTCAATGTCTTCCGGGCTATACAGGAACAGCGTCTTGCCTTTCTTCACTACAGACCTCTTCACCTGGGGTCTGTTTAACGGGACAATCCGGTACGAGGTCAATGACGATTGATATCCGACTGTAGCTGATACAGGTCGTTTTCTCACAGGCGACCTCGATGATTGTGCCAGGTACTCTGAGGCCTTCTGGACTGATCCGTCTGCCGCGAGTAGGGCTTCAAGCAGAACCGCGCCATCAACATCGGCATGTAAAGATGCCAGTATCGCTAGTTTGAAATCCGTAGATTCCTCCTCTTTCTCTGACTCCACACGCGTAGTCGCAACCGCGGGCTTCACCACCCGCTCATCCCGCTTCCTCTTGCGCGTCACAAACGCGTCCATCTCTTTCGTGTAAAATGCACGATACGGTCCTCATGACGAAACAAGCCGCATGCAGCAATTGGTAGTGCTAGACGCAAGTGGCAAACAGCCCCCAGGCTACAAACGCCTCCCAACGCGCAGTCACGGGAACAAAAAAGGGTCCCCCCCCTGCTACCCGGATTGCCAGCCCCGCCATAAGCTACCACTTGCGCCTCGGCCATAGTAGAGCACCACCCGCACTCGTCATCCGCGAAACCATGCATGCAGCACACCATCCCCCAGCTTCACTTCTTTTCCCGTCGCGCAAAGATGCGCCACATGCTGTCTAATCTGCACGCGCCATAGTCTGACCCTTCTTCTCTCTCTCGTTTTTTGCTCTTTGCAAGTCCACCGCCAACATGCTCGAGTTCCGCACCCAGGGCTTCAACGGCTATTCGGTCAAGTACAGCCCGTTCTTTGATTCGCGCATCGCAGTCGCTACGTCTGCGAACTTCGGACTGGTGGGGAATGGTCGGCTGTATATTCTTGGTTTGACAGCTAATGGGATAGTCGCTGAGAAATGGTATGTACTGACTTCTCACTTTACTCATTATACATGCCCAATCCTTTCACATGCTAACCACATAACGCAGGTTCGACACCCAAGACTCCCTCTTCGACAGCACCTGGTCCGAATCGCACGAGAACCAACTCCTAACCGCCGGCGGCGACGGCTCCGTCAAACTCTTTGACATCAACGTGCCCACGTACCCCATCGCCTCGTGGCAAGAGCACGCCCGCGAAGTCTTCGCTGTCCACTGGAACCTCGTCGCAAAAGACACCTTCCTCTCGTCGTCGTGGGACGGCACAATCAAAATCTGGAACCCCAATGCAAACGCTAGCATCACGACGCTGCCCACGCATTCCTGCACGTATTCCGCGGCGTTTAGTCCGCACAACCCAAGCGTCCTGAGCAGCGTGAGTTCGGATAGCCACCTCCGCGTATTTGATTTGCGCACGCCGGCGAGTGCGAGTAACCATCTCACGATGAGTCTGCCGATTCACCAGCCGCCCAAGGCGCGCATGGGGACTGCGGCGCCCGTCGGCATTGCGCCGGCGGAAGCACTAACACACGATTGGAATAAGTACCGCGATACCATCGTTGCGACGGCTGGCGTCGATCGCGTTATTCGCACATTTGATATTCGCATGCCGCAGCAAGGGCCGATTGCTGTGCTACCGGGCCATGAGTATGCGGTTAGGAGGTTGAGTTGGAGTCCGCATCTCTCGGACATATTGCTGAGTGCTAGTTACGATATGACGTGTCGGGTGTGGACTGATGGTAGCGCTATGGGTGTGGGGGGTGTGAAGCAGGAGAATATGCTTGAGGATCCTATGTTTTATGGTGGAGGTAGGGAGATGGGGAGGATGGGGAGACACACTGAGTTTGTGACTGGTGTGGATTGGTGTTTGTTTGGTGCAGAGGGTTGGTGTGCGAGTACAGGGTGGGATGAGAGAGTACTCGTGTGGGATTGTAGAGCTGTTATGCAATAAATTCATGACTTGTTTCCAAAGAATAACTATGCAATGCAGTCTTCTCATTTATGTGACAAGTGTCTAACTAACCAATCCCCCCCCCCATGTTTAAACAGCAACAGACAACATTCGATGTAAAAAAAAAATGAAATACGGATGAAATCAAAAATTGGTACTAGAAGAATATATGCAACTACACAACATTCACTTCCACCAACAAATGCCCTCAAAATAATGTGTAACATTCAGAAAAAGAAAAGAAAAAGAGATAGGGTATCATAATCCCATGTACACAAAACACCGCCTCAAACACCAAAATGCAACTTACCGTCTTTTACCAAAAAAAAGACCAAAGCAAACGCCATATACCATGCATCATGCACTTGTGTTGAAAAGAAAAAATCCATCATCTTGCAACGCAACCCATAATCTTCCCATCTTCTCATCTTCAAAAAGATAACCCCCATCACAAATCCCCAAGATTTAATATATCCTCCAATGTCTCATCCATATCCGCCATATCCTGCACACTCCCGCCTTGCCAATGCAACCCCACCTCTTCATCCACCATCATCGCATCTCCAAAATCCACAGTCCATGTTTCGGGCGCAAAGGCGAGTTTAGTATCGCCATTGGTGTGCCCGTTCGTCAGCGGCTTAGAAGAAGCAGACGTATCGTAAAGGTCTTCGATGCCCTCCGTATCCAGGAACCGGGAGTGCAAGATAGACCCGGCGATGAACGGAGTTTGGCCGAGGTACCCATCGCCGAGTTCAAGGGCGAGCCGCAAGTCTTCTGTGCAAAGTGGTTTTCTTTTACGTCGTTCTTCGGCTTCGATGGGGAGTTCGCCCGCAGGACCGCGCATAAGCTCACCCTTTTCTGCGAGCCGTTCTTCTCGTGCTTGTTTCTTTTTGAAGTCGCTCGTGCGGACGTAGCCGAGGCCGTTGCTGCAGACTTTGCCTAGGAGGTTTGCGAGGGCTTCTTTGATGTATGTTTCGGTTGCGATGTTGAGGTAGTCGGGGCAATCGGGCGTGTGGCCTTGGGGGAGGCCGTATTCGTAGCATATGGGTAGGAGGCGGTAGGATATTGTCATGGCGGTAGGGAACTCGTGGGTTTCGACGTACAGGGCGGACGTGTAGCGCTTGCGGATTTCGAGTTCCCAGTCTATGGCAGTGTTAGTATGCACAGACAGCAAATTTGTATGGTAACGACGGTATGTCATAATACGTACTCGTCTTTGCGAATCCACCACCTTGGTTGCTGCTGGGTCCAATGTCTAGCTGCTTCGCTCGTCTGGCATCGACATACTCCTGTACTGGTCCTGTCATGCCCACACTCAGCCCCCCCTCCAAGCCTGTACTCAACGGGCTCTCACCCGCTGGTATGCCCTTTAATCGCTTCCTCTCCCTGCGACTTAGTTGCATAACTTCATGTTTTAGCCGCTTCTCGCTCTCATCCCCTGTCCCCTTGACCGTCCCGCTCGTCGGCTTATCGCTGCTGCTGACCCAGCTTGCGATACCAGCTTCTGGTGGATCGCGCCATATATTCGCATAGATGGCTGTGAAGAGGGCATTGTGCGCGTGTTCAAGGGCGGGCGTGGTCAAGATCTTGGATAGCTTCTGGGAGAGTTCTTCCTGGTTGAGATTGCCGAGGAGAAAGTAGGAGAGCGTTTTCTTGTAGACTGTCCAGTCGGCGTCGCTGATAGCGCCCTTGACAGCCGCATATAGGGGCTCGACATCTACGCGCGGGCTTCGTGGCACACTGGGCTTCTTGCTGAGGTCCGTTTGAAGGGTCATGAGGTTGGGCAATGTGCCCGAGGAGAGAGTCGGTGTCGTCGCGACATTCATCTCATTCGGCCGTATCGTACCTGCCATGATGGCGGTGGAGACGCGCCGTGGTGGCGCTCAATGCGTGGTGATGTGCGCGTTGCGAGTTGGTCGCGCAGTAGGACAGATGCGCGTGCCGACGGCCGAGATGAATACCCAGCGAGGGACAGCGATGGAGAGACCTGAGCGCTTATGTAAATAGATAACCCAAGTCGCAGAAGCAGCCGCTATTGTTCCCTGATGACGGAGAGATGCAGCGGGTCTTGTGCGGGGTGTGGGTTGATGGGACGGCTTGCAGTTGTGGAGAGCGTGAGGTCAGAGCTCGGGGGTCCTGCGGAGTTGACACTGAACCGCCTAACAAGGTCTCCCACAAGTACATGTCAAACCCGCCGGATTCAATCTCTTCCTTCGCATACTACCTCAGAGGAAAGCATATACTGTACCAACTCGCAATGCTATTAGGAAAACATCATAGTGCATCATCACAATTATTTTAGGTCTTATGCTGATGCTGAATGCCGCCCAGGTAGGCTTTTCTTTTCTACCCATATACACAATCCCATCACGAATCATCGCCAAACACATCTCCCAACTCAACCTTTCCGACACTCCAGATTTCACGTTCGTCCTCAACCTCATCACTAGATAGACCGAGACCACCTGCTCCACCCTCTGCTTCCTTCCTTTCTCTTGCTTGCGCTGCTAGCCTCATGGCCACACGCTTGAAGTAGTCTCCCATGCTACGTTGCTGACCAGGAGTCAAGCTCTTGCCTAGACCAGTCATGTACTTGTCGAACACGGCACTTTCCTCGTCTACTACAGAGAAGATGCTAAGGAAAGCTGCCTCTGCAGCCAGCTTAACTGGAATGACGGGGTCACGAACAGATGCGAATACCACTGGTACAACCAATGGAATATGCGGCCGGACGAGCTCGTTGTGTTGCCGCGAGACGGTTCGAAGCACCACAAGTGCCAATCGCCTCGTGTCCACAGGATGACCCGGCTCAACAACAGGTGCAAGAGCCTCGAAAATGGGTTTTGTATGATCGAAACTCTTGTTGCTCTTCTCAGACAGCAGGTACTTGCCCGCTGCAAGGACTGAATTGTCCGAGATGAACGGCTGTGAGTGTGCGATGCCCTGGCAAATTATGGAGACAGTCTCATCAGCAAAGGATTCTGTCAACGCTTCGGGTGCATCGAGCAAGATAGCATTGAGCGCTAACACAGATGCTTTGTTGTAATGTGTAGTGAGGACGCGGGCCTTGAGCAGGCTGGAGGCAATTTCCTCAGGTAGGCAGCTAATGAGGGCACCCAAAAGTCGAGCATTTGTAATGGCCATTGCGTCTAGACGGTGTTAGTGGATTGCAAAACTGTATCATCGATTCTGTTCTTACCATTCGATTCATCAGTCTCAGTATCAATGAGACCCAGAATGGCATTCCTGCTCGCTTCGCTCATGTTCTTACCCGCCTTGCTCACTACTTCAAACAAGGCTTTCAGCATAGCAGTCTTGACGGCCTCATCACTTGTCTTGGATCCCGTCACTAACTCGGCAATCAGAGGGTCCACCCTCGGTGTTAGCTTGATCAGTGTACCCAAAGCCTTGGCCGCTCGTGCTCGTAGGATATCAGAGGATGTATCTGCGAGTGATTTGGCAAACGTTCGTTGCAGTTGCGGTAGGAAAGGCTTGAGGAAGGTAGGAATCTTTCCTAGGAGATTGTTGAGCGTGAGTAGGATGGCAGCCTTGACGTCGACAGAGCGCTCTGTAACTACACGAATGAGGGGTCCAGTGATTTGGGTGACAAATGGTTGCAAAGCTTTGGCGCTTGTACGGTCAATAATATCAGAAATAGCCAATGCAGACTGTGTTCGCTGCTCAACTGATCCGTTCATGAGACCTTGCAGGAAAATAGGCAAGATGGCGTTGATACCCTTTGGAAGTGAGAAACCTGGAAGATCTGCACCCGCAACACCGACTTGGTTGAGTGTTTGGCGTGTAGAAATGACGAGCGACTCCATTTCTTCCTTTCGTAGCCGCTTCGATGTGAGGGTACTGAGCGCAGTCCATGCTGCTTTGACGACCTCGGGATCGCTATCGTCAAAGGAAATGAGGAGCGCACGAATAAGATCGGGATAGTACCTGGAAAAGTCGACATCCGCTTCCGCGAAGAACTTGGCGAGGTGCATATCCGCACGTGCACGTCGCTTCTCGTCGTCGTGCTTCGACAAAGCAAGCATGACACTCATGGCGGTATTGAGTCCATCAAACTCATCCACAGACAAGAGTACCTTGTCGAAAGATGCTTCCAATTCTGACTTGAGATCTTCGTCCTTTGAAGCAATGATATTGTCCATGATAGTATTGAGGATATTTGGCAATCTCCTAGACATGGCAGAGCTTGCAACTTCAGCCAGCGATGCAATGGCGCGAGCATTGAAGGCAGACATCGGAGAAGTAAGAAGCGTTGGTAGCAGATTTGGCAGGATGATGCTGGACCTTGCCTGATCTGTGAGAAGAGTGAGAAGTGCCGAAAGGGCATTCTGGGCGTCATCCTCTGATCGCAAAAGGTTGAGTAGATATGGCAAGACCTGATCGACAGCCTTTTTGCCAAGAATTTGCTGAAGAGCATCGAAAGCATCCGCGGCAGCTTCTCGCACGTCTGCATTGTGATCCACCAGAGCTGTTCGGACGACCTGTATGAGTGTCTTCTCATAATCCTCAAGCTGCTCTGGTGAAGCAGCTGCGATGAGTTCTCGCAAGGCAATGCAAATACCCTGCTTCGTATCGGTATCGGTGGTGTGAAGACCTTCTTCCAAAGTAGGCAACAAAGTAGCCAATACACCATCTCCAGCCTTTCGAATGAGTTCTCCAAGAGCATTGCTGGCAATGACCTTCTGCTCCATGTTCGAGCTTGCCAAGCGACGAATGATAAGTTGTGTGAGCGTAGGAATAAGTTCCCGCAGGGTACGAGGACTGGCAACCAATGCCTTCCAGACGGCGACGGATGCAGTGCGTACCAGACCCGAAGTATCGCACCTGCATATGTACAACGCAGACAAGACCTTGTTTCGCTTCTCTTCTCCGAGTACTTCGAGTAGAGACTGGCCGGCTTCTTTGGCACCCTCTTCCACCTCTTCTTCTTCCACTTTGCCACTGATACCAGTGAGGTTGAAGAGGAGATCTCCAACAAGCTCGACGGAGCTGAGACGGATGCGGTAGCTGTCGTCCGCAAGACCTCTTTCCAGTTCGGGAAGCAGGAGATCGATGGCCTTGGTAGCGAAATTCTTAACCAAAAGACGACCAGCGCGCAAGGCAGTTTCTCGGATTGATTCGACATCATCTGCAAGACCACCAAGAATTGGGGGAATAATCTTGCTGAGATAGTTGGCAAAGCTGTTTCCGAAACAGACCGGCAAGAAGATGAAGAGCGACATGAATCCTTCGCGGACTGAAGCTCTGCTGCTGGCCACATTCTGTAAGATACTTGGAAGCGTTTCCTCCAAACGTCCAGTACCAAGCCCTGCGAGGACTTCCGAGAGTGCTTGTGCAGAACCAAGTCGGTCTCCCGCACCTGTGTCGGACTTGAGTGTAGCCATAAGGCTCGGAATGAGATCGGGCAGCGCATCTTCTCCAAGCTTTTCCACGAGCGAACCGAGTGCTTTGGACGCGGTCGCACGCGTGGCCGGTACAGGGTCCACAATCGCAACGCGTAAACCAGCGACCAAGATTGGCAAATGAGAGATGAGATCCTTTCGCTCTGAAAGGTATGCCAAACTTCCAATGATCTGGGACGACTTTCGCTTGGTACCCGATCGATCTCCCAATCCTCGTTCCAGAATACGAACTACCAGAGCGAGAGATGGAGCGTCTAGGAAATGGGCGAATTGAATCTTGATTAGCGCGTCAAGGGCATCATCGGTGTATTTCGTAGGGTCACTAAGAGCCTTGAGGATGATGTTGACGACACTCTTGATCTCAGGGTTGCTAATGACTTCTCCGAAACGTTGCAAGCTTCGGTTTGCTGAAGCCCTTACTTCCTTGTGACTGTCTGTCAAGACGATTGTAAGAGGCGGGATGATATCGGGCAAGCTGAGAGCTAGCTGGTTCGGGTCCAGGTAGGCCATTGCGCCCAACGAATCGCAGGCACCCTTCTTACTGCGCCATTGGTCCTCGTCGAGACCATCCAAGAGTATTGGGAGCACCTGCTTCACTCCAAAGGAACTGAGTGTGGAGAAGCAGGTTTTTGCTGCGTCAAGACAAGCCTCGCGAACGTCTGCGCTAGTATCACCAAATCCAGCGAGTAACTGTGGGACGAGCTGAATGACATATGGCTCGAACAAGCGGCCCATAATCAAGGATAGCAGCTCATACGCTAGGTATACTCCTTGCCTCTGGTTAGGGTCCTTCTTGTTGTCACTAGCTCCCTTGAGCGTAGACATGATACGATATTCCTTGAGTACCATCAAACCCTTTCCTCGGACGATGCCTGCAAGTCCGTAAGCAGCACCGCGCCGTGAGGCATACTTCTTGGACTGTAGCAACTGCTCCATCATCTGGTTGATGTATGTTGGAAGTTCCTGTTCCGACGTGAGAACCAGAGGCGGGAGACATTGCGCGACAGCATATTGCACTGTCTCTGAAGGTGTACTAAGTGTCGACAACAACCTTTGCACGACCTTTGGAACTCGCTCATCTCCAGCAGTTAAATGACGGCCGAGCGCACCGTAAAGGATGACGACTGCTTCGTTGACTTGATCATACATCTCGGATTTGCGATCAGGTGCTTCGAGCGCATTCTCGAAAAGTTCCATCAATGGCTCGACCTTGGTCTGAGCCTTCGCTGAGATAACTGATGTTGCTGCTTCTATCAATTCGTCTCGGACTGCGGGGCTGCGATCTCCTAGAGGGCCCTCATAAATTAAAAAGTTGAAGAACTCAGGGAGGTCGTCGGGCTTGAATCCCGGAGTCATTTCCTTGAAGGTGAGTGCAATGCCATCTCTGCTCTCCCAAGGATCTCGCAGATCAACCTTTCGGGGCATACCATACTCGTCACGCTCTGGAACCCGCGGCTTGGCCTTCTCTGTGTATGACTCGCGAAGCCTCTTCAAAAGGTCGTCGAACGTCTCTGGGTATCTAGTTATGATCTCGCCGATAGATCGAGCAGCAGCCCGTCGAAGCGGTTTATCCAGTGAATCGAGATATGGTAACATCTGTACACCCGCTTCTGGCTTCAACTCGAGATCATTCTCTTCCCAGATTGTCTGTGCAAGTTCTGCGTTTTCTGGTACATCGTC